ACTAGTCGATTCTTGTTGATATTGCGGTAGACCCAGTATGTTCACCTGAAAACGACACTAGTTCTCTTATGCATGTTTATATGCGTTCATTTGATTCATTCTGATCGGAAAAGTCTTGAATGTGAATGTTACAATTTATTTTGCATTTTCCTAATAATAAGATTCTTTTATTTTGACCTTTTCGTGTGTCGCAGATTTCTCCGCTATGCTCCGCACGAGATAGCGAACCTTGTTATCAACATGAAGGCGAAAATCAGCTCAATAACCTAACAGGATCTGATATTCCCATTTTTTTCTATTCTTCAATTCAAAATAAAAGACAAGTTACCAAGTTTTCAATAACTTTTTAGTAGAAATAAGAGAGAGAGAGCTGTAGTTTTCACCGCTCGAAAGACCAGCATCCAGATGTCGATTCTTTATTAGTATCAATTTTTGAATAAGACATATAGGTATAGGAGATTACACTGATTTTCATAAATCCATACCATTTGTACAATTTATATTGAACATATATGTCGATAAGTTAGTGAGAAAGTCCAAAGTACCCTCTATTGAACCGCGAAATTTGCAGATTTCTATCTTTTATCGTTAAAGGACAGGATCAATTTTTCTAAGAGTAGCAGGATAGCGTCAGAACACAATATGGTTCTCCTTCAAAGAAATGCATTCTCTATTTTGCCACCCGGCTCATCGTTCAATGTGTTCTTAGATTCATCATTGGTATCTCTCACTGTACCCATATTCTTATCATCATCACCAATCAGTGACTCTTCGGTTTGTTCAGCATCTGCGGTGGTTTGTCTGAAAATGAGTTCGTATCCTTGTGCATGACCGATGCAGCTTTTGGCATGAACAAAATCTAAAGCAGCTAGCATGTAAGAGGCCGATTGTTAAACATCTATCAATTCGAAATTCGTGTTGTGCTCTCTTACATATGATTTCATCGGGATCCATGCTAATTCAAGAGATTTTAACATGTACTGTTTGATAGCTAATCTTAAAGAGCATATAGTTTATGTGACTAATGGATTTACCGTGCCATATAAATATTGTAAGACGCCTCTCTAACTTTGAAAGTCATGATTAACAACATAGCATGTTTTTTGTAAGATTTTAAACTCGTCACAATTAATCATCTTTACTCGGATATAATATACTCTTTGATTTCATCAGAAATATATTTTTTTCGGCAGTTATTATTTCATACGGTGATGTTCAGCTTGATTAATAACGCTTTTCTCCATTCGTTTTAATTCTTGAAGGAAAATAATATTGTGTTCTGATGTTATCTCAGCACGCCTAGCAAAATCAGACTTCTCTCTAAAATATACAAGATAGAAAACTGCGGCCTACATAGTACTAAGAAGAATAGTTTGTTCTTTCTAACTGTCTTATCGAGAAATACATTCAATGTGAATTCTGAAAATGGCATGGATTTATAAGAGTCAGAGTAATGTCTTATACCTATGTTTTACTGAGACTTTGTATTTAATAGAGAACTGTCACTCAGATGCTGATCTTTCGTATGGTGAAAACTACAGCTCTCTATTCTGTTTCCATCAAAATTTATTGAAAAAATGGTAACTTGCCTTTTATTTTGAATTGAACAATAGGAAAAAATGGAAAAATCGAACTCTGTTAAGTTGTCGTACCCTGCCTTGGCTACATTTTTGAATTACGCTGAATTTTATAGCATTTGAAATGCGAGAAAAATTTGAGACGCACAGACACGTATATTTGGATCCATAGTCTTAAGTTAACTCTTCGTAGACTCAATGTATCGAGTTGAAATGCGTATCATGAGGTTCCTAGCTCAAGATACATCTCCATTGAAAGTTTCATCGATAGCGGATGCTCGAAAAAGATGTTGTTTTTTGTGTATCATATTAATACCTGGTTTGTTAAAAGGCTAGAATGTTTTTTAATAAAAAGTAGAACATACCGATAATGAACTGAGATTGAAACAAACCTTATACTATCATCCGGACGATTCTTCTGAAACCTCAAAAACTTCACTTTTTCATGAGTCTTATCTTAGTTTAATTTGTTTAAAGTTTCGTTTCTGTTAAAGACAACATTCGCGATTCATAAAAAAAATGTGTTCGCAACTGAGAATTTAGAAAACGATTGCCTAATCATCCGATGTGATTGACCATTTACATTTTGTCATTATAACGTCTACAAATGGATCGATTTAGATTTACGTGAAACTATCTACTTCAGTCATCAATAACTCCATCAAGTCTACGAATAAAGCCAACTAGAATTGGAAAGTCAACAATAAACGGATAAATGTTACTGAACATCAATTAGCTGAATATTCTGCCATTGATCTCAGTACCTGATATTTACATTTTGAGTTAAGGAAAATGTGTACGTAAACGATGATCGAAATATAGTATTCCTATTCTTGTATGTAAAGAAATAACATTTAGAAAAGGAGAATTTATCAGACGTATTTTCTATTAGAAGACAGATAATCAGAAGAACTCGTAAGAAACTGTAAATATTAATGATTTGTAAAAGGTCCTTTATATAGAAGAAGAAAAAGCTATCATCCCAGCGAAGAATAACAAATACATGGAATCAGTCGATTGGTCGAGATTTACTGTATGATAAATAACGAACAATATAACTATTTCTCATCAGTTTGGTTACTCTCTCGTTTGATACCAGACATATTGATAAGACTTTTAGATAGATGTTAGTATTAGACTTGTCATACAATTAATAAAGATAAAAACAAATATTATGCTGTGTCGTTGATTAAAAAAACTTGAATTAATTTGGAAAACATTTATTATCTTCTTGTAAATTTACGTCATCGCCAACAAAAAACTGCGCCATTTTTCTTGCTAATATTTTGAAGTGTTTACTGGACAATCAATTCTGCATGGTATAAGAAACGTTATGTCTATATTTTGCGTACTATATTTATTTAATGAAAATAGCATATTGAATATTGAAATTCTTGAAAAAACGTTTTTTTCAAGGTTATACAAAATTTATTCTAAAACACGTTCAAGTTTTAGCTGCTTTATTAAATTACATCATTGAATAGAAGCTGTAGAATAACTATTTGCGGTATCAAGCAACTTTTAGCAATCATTCCTAAAGGCTCATCACGTTAAACGGACATACTTCTAATGTAGAATATTTAAGACGGATAACGGTGTTCAGCATTGCTACTTATTTGGTAATTGTCAAGCATTCTGTACATTCAGATATTTGTTGTTGATCCATCGAGAAACAATGACTTGCATTATAAATTAAGATTTATAAGCTTAACTGATGTTTTGGTGTTTTTTAATGTGTCATGATTGTAATACTTCTATATTAGACGAACTCTTAGCATCTAAGAATTCAGTTTTCATTGTATGTTCTTTTCGTTTAGTCTATGTTTCATATGCCAAGATACAATTTTTTCTACCCATTTCAAAGGATTTTACCCTACATCACAGTAAATTTTGTTTTTGAATGTTTTTTTTTGTGTAAAGAAATTGTTCCCCTTATTATCGTCATAAGCACTGGAGTTTTTGCTTAGCATAATTTCCAAGAGATTGTGTAACATAAGAGAAAAAGTCCACTGTTATAATGTATTTAGAAAGATAAGCTTTAATAAGTTGGTATTTTACATGACGTAATGAAAGATAACAAATGATGTAAATATGTTATTCTATTATCTCCTGATAATTTTTCGACGTTATTTATTCAATAATAAAAATTTGTACTATAGCGTCATTATTTTATTTGTTAAAGAAGATATTGGTCTTCAAATTGCTATTTTAGAACATAAGTAGAATATTTAGTTTTTTGTTTTCAAGCTGACGACTTTTATTCGTTTCATTTATAACACATAAATAAATTCTATTAATTAAGAATTTTAACATAGAAAATTGGCATCATAAACTTGTCTATATGATTGACTTCAACAACAAAGTTTCATATTTAAATCAAATTTTGCATGAAAAAATAATCATGAAACAACATCTGCAATTAATTATCAATCATTACGAACAAACACTTTTGGCCAGATTTGTAACCGTACCTACGAATAATCTTTTACGATATATGCTTCTATTGTATTAAGACATCATCGAACGACTTTGAGAGTATATATTCGGGGAAAGCAATTCATGCGAGCGGAAAAGATCGACTATTAGACTCGTTTCGTTGCGTACATTTAATCACTGAATCTCGGACTCAGAGTTTGTCTTTTTTGACTGGTAAAGTGCATTGAGTTACTGTTTTTATATTGGTTTTCTAAAGATATCATATATGAAAAACCAATGAAAAAAAGATTAATACTTGTTAATCAATGATAAATCCTTAGAAACGGTTCAAAAATTCTATTAAATACATTGTAGCTTTAGTTATATCTGTAACTCTAAGATATATTACATCATTGGTTTCTTTTGTTATACTCAATTAAACACCTTCTTCCGGTTTTTAGTTTGACATTGATTAAAATGAAATTATTAATTTATGCAAAATAAATAATTCTACACAATTCTGATCAGATTCTGGAATTGTAAATCGTTCATTTCTACTCTTGATGTATCCATTTTAAAAATTTTGTTGTTGAAGTAATGAGTATATGACAATAAAGGTAATTGATTGTATGTGTGAGACTACACGAATAAGAAAGTAATTTATTACATGTATGAATAAAAACTTCGTTACCTGTACTGTATTTCTCTATGTATCATCCTATGCAATGGATGCTTTTGAGTTTTTTTCAATTGATATTTCTATTTATAGAATCTTTTTTTTTCTCGCATCATCATTTCTTGCTTTTCTTAATTATATATTAAAAATCGAGTGTGAAAAATGTATCACAACTACATAAAGAGCAAACAATCGAGAGAAAAAAAAAAGACAGTTTACACAAGCAGAAAAAAAAACAGCACTAAATTGGGTAAAGAAGTTGAAAGAAAAAACTAATGTTTGAGTTATTATGATTGCAAGATCTAAGATTGATAATACCAAAATGAATATTATTAATCAACAGTGTTTGCAATACGACCCAATTCGCTGTCTAGAATAGAAAACAAAAAGTTATTTAGAGTTAGTAGAAGTAAAAAAAGAACAAATCAATTACCAACCATATAAATTGGGTGATTCAGATACAGTACTAGATCCATCAACGTCGGAAGTTGTTGACAGAACAGAATCAGTCTTAGACACATCATGTCCATTTACTGCTGTCTCTGACGACGTTGTGGCCTCAGAAGTTGATGATGCTAAATAAATTCAATGTCTAATTGAAATTCTTGTCTATATATAAATACAAACCGTTAACATGAACAGATGGATCCTCTTCAATTGATGAGCTAACTGTTGTTGTTGTTGTTGTCGTCGGTGGTACAGAAGATAATGCCGAAACTGTTGTTGGAGATTTCGATAATTTTTTAATTGTTGCTTGTAAATCAGACCGTTCTTGTTGTAAAGCTCGACTTAATTTATCAAGTTTATCAAGTTTAATTTCTAATTGTCGTTTTTCTTTCTCCAAAAGTTTGAACTTAAAAAAAAAGAAAACTTTTGATAAAAAATGAAAAATAAAATTCTCATACATCTTCATTTGCTTTTCTTTGACTTTGTTCAGCAACTTCCCATCGATGTCGGAAATCAGTTCGTTCTTTCTCTAATTTTTTAATTTTTTTTCCCATTTTTTCTATTTCAGCATGACATGATGTAACCATTTGACTACTTTGTTGTATAGCATTTTGAAATTCTTGATAACGTTCCGAATACATTTGTACTTGAGAACGAAGACTTAATTCAGATGCAGCTAATTCCTCACATTTTTTATATAAAACTAAACGTTCAGCTTCACTCTTTTATATTAATAACAAAAACAAATAAATTCGATTGTTTTTTTTTTAATAAAAAATTTTCAATTTTCAACTTACGACTTGTCGTTCTTGTTTAATTAATTCAGTTCGTTCTTCAAGTAAAGTATGACTTTGTTCTAAACTAGCTTCAGTTAAACGTAATTCAAGTTCTCTTTTCTTTAATGCTGCTTCAACTTCCTAAAATTATTGGAAATTAACTTTTACCAAAAAAAAAAAAATAAAAATAAATTACCTTTTCACGTAATTCATATTTTTTAACAACAGATGTTAATTCTTCAGATAATTGAATATTTTGTTCACGTAATGAAGTTGATTTTTCACTATAATTCGATAACTGTGATGCTATCTCATCAATAGTTGTCTAAAAGAAAATAAATAATAAAAAAACATTAAAAAAAAATAATAAAAACCTGAAATTTCGTTGCTAGTTCTCGACGTTTTGTTTCCTCATCACGTTGTCGTTGAGCACTTTCATCCTAACAGGAAAAAAAAGAAACAAAAAAATTAAAAATAGATTTCTCAAGGTAAGTTACACGTATTTGTTGACTATGTCGATGAAGTTCACGGCAAAGACTTTCTAGTTTTGCTTTGGCTGCTACGATACGACCATTCTCAAGTAAAGCTTGATCACGTTCACGCATTAGAATTGTTAATCGTTTTTCTGATTCATTCGCTTTTGCTTGTGTCAATCGTTGTTGTTCTTGTAATTCAGCTATTTTTGTTGCTAATGTTAATAAATTTTTTTGTGGATCGGGATCCGTTAAACTTTTTACAATATTTTCTAAAATATGAATAAATTTAACAGAAAAAAACAAGAGAAATAATATCAAAATAAACATACTAGCAGCTTTAGTAATATTTCGACGTGATTCAGATTCATTGTTCGTTGTTGAAGAAGTTGCATTACTTGCTGCCGCTGCTGCTGCTGTTGTTGTTGATGTTTTACTATTAGTTGGTTTAGGTTCTTTTGAAGTAGCAGCTAAAAATGAAATTTATTTGAATAAAATGAATATTTTTGTTTATTAATATACCAAATGTTTCTAATTTTTTAACAAGTTTAGCACCAATTGCTGTTTGTCCTGATGTACGAGTTGTAGTTGTTGATGATTTTGTTTGGGACTCATCAGTATTTGTATCTTCACATGCAGTTGAAAGATTAATTGAATCAATTATTTGTGAAAGTTGTTCATCGGATGATATTTGATTTGTATCAAATGAAAGATTTTCATCATTCATAATACCATTTGTTGCTTCAGATTCAATATTTGTTGTTGAGGTNGAAGGTACCCTTGATGGTTGAGGGACAACAAAGTGAGGGTGAGGAGGGTGCCCTTGAAAAGGTACCCTGAAGGTGGTATCTTTGAAAGGCTACTCTTAAGCTGGCTGTACCCTTCGGTAGGAGATTTCTTTGTCTTTAAAGAAGCTATAGAAATACAGCGGTATAAGCATTTTGAATTTGCCGCAAATTCAAATTCCCCATGAACTCCTATTCCTAAGTAAAATTATGTTCTTGTCCATAGTACCGAGAATTGAGTATTCTTTTGTAATGGTAAATTTCTTTTTATAAAGTCTATTTAACTTGTTTTACAATAATTTAATCTTCTTATCCTTAAAACCACCTTCCCACAGTAGATAGTCACTTATAAGAAAAATGTCACAATACCAAATAGAGGGTTATGTGTTTTCCGACGGTTTTTTCAGGAAACTCAACAGTTCTTTGGATTGTAGTATCTAAAAACTCAGCTTGGCTAAAGACCCTATTTTTGTAATAAAATGACTATTGTTCTTAGTGAAAAATCATGGTTTTCTGGCATTTTTATGCTAAAAAAGCCTGTTTGAATATCAAAAGGGTTTTGCCAAAGTCTTTAGTTTTATAGATAATAGCTAGTAAAACGTTAACCAGCAATAAAAGGTCATCTTGGGACAAGCGATGTGAATTTTCACATTAGAAGGCCATGATCTTTTATTCTGAGGGAGATCAGACTTGGTTTAGAAATTTCATTATAGTCTGAGTAACAACATGTAATAAGATCGATAAGAAAGAAAGCATATATAGAATTTATGACCAGTTTCTTAGATACTATTGCAAGTAAGATATACTTCATATTATGGTAAGTGCCTTAAGTGGCAACTTATGCTAGACTATCTTTGATAAGATTTGATTTTTGAATTGGCTAATGAAATTATTATTCTGATTATTCTATCATATCGAATTTAAAAAAATAAAAATCTGTTGATGACAATATGTAAGTTCATGCTAAGAGTATAATAAAATCAGGAACAAACTGAATTGATCTTAAATAATAAAATCACAAAATTATATAATAGGAAAAAATCCAATATCATCCTTTAGCGGCGTCTTATACTAGTAAAATATCCATTGGTGTGAACCTATATGGACAATAAAAGAACCTTATCTAATTGTTCTATCATATCGGCGTTATTTATCATCTTATACTGTTTTCATAATATCCTATCATGATGCTTTGAAAGATCGATACTTTTCCATTCATTCACAGTCACTATTCACATAGCTATCTCGGTTAACTTAAGCGCTAAATTACCATGCAATTCATGTTAAATACCTATCGGAATAATATTCATATGCTTCTTCTTCATACTAAATGATATCAATACATTAATAAATTCAACTGCTTGGTATAAGACAAGAACAACGATACAGTAATTTTTTTTGCAACAATATTTGTTGCTGCTTTTGATCAATATTTTTCAGCAAATAATCGATTTAATTACAACAAATAATAAAAGTCAATTTTGTCACATTCTTTAGTCTTAGCTATATTTGTTTTATAATAATGTTTAGTATTCTAATATTTAGTTTTCACGACATTGATTTAACATAAGGATGTGCCAATTGTAAAGTATTATTGAAAATTTATTATAATTCCTTTTTTCTGTACTATCCAGATGCAATCGATCTTTTATCAATTTTAATCAAGGTTTTGCATTTAATCTTTTGTTCTTTATAATCGCTATCATCTGGTTCGCCGGTAGAGCTCTATAAGCTGAGCCACCGTCAATATTCTAGCCGTCACCGTAAATAGTTGCTGAAAATTTCAGCTATCACCGTGGCATTATCATAGATACTAGATTTTTGAAAATTTTCAACTGCTAGGATCAGTTTTCAGAGATGCTCTTGTTCAATTTCTTATTATATTATCTCCGTTTTTAATTTCAACGTGTCTCCAAACTAAGAAAATCTGTTAAGAAAGCACCAGAGATTTTCAACCGCCATCATCGGAGCGTCAGATGTTCCTAGTCGTTTGCACCAAAAGCTAAAAAAGATGTTAAACATATTCTACCATCGTTGCCGATCAATGCATTAGCTTACACGTTTTATTGAGTTTACATATTTAACAAATAATATTACTACAGTTGTTCCCGTCTTACTGACAATAAGTCAGCTAATTTCGGTTGTTGTAGAATTGTTCTTTTCTATTAATTATACAGTCGACTTTTTCACCTTTCTTAGAATCTGTTTGTTCTAAAATAAGTTTTTACCACTTCTTCACTAACAAGCGTAGATACGCAAGTGTGATCCGTCATTTTGAATCATATGTATACTAGTGTGTAGAGCTCGACGAGGTGATTGTCATGGCATAAAGCGTTTTTCCCCATTGGACTCTAAATGAGGCAAAATTTATAAACTCTACATGGGAGCGATCATAATTCAGACACTAAAACTTCATATGTCCTTAAATGCCAAGGATCGAATTTGATTATTAATCATCTCATTTTGGTTGTCGAATTTTTATTTTTATATACTAAAAGCTGCCTAATTATGTTACTCTGCATGTTTCAATGTTGCTATCATTACACACTTGCATTGTTCAACTATAATGCTATGAAAAACGTTAATACTTCTAGAGAGAACACTATTTTTATTTACTTGAAGCTTAAGTCTTTCTGGTTCTTATGAGCTAAAAACGAGCGAAGATCATAATAATCAGAAGACAAGATTATGGGATTGAATATATCAGGCGCAAAGAGGAACGAGAACGTACTTCACATGAATACATGTCACCAACAAGACAAAAATGTGTCCATTTAGATTCATTTGCATACTGATACTCTCCTTTGACTTTGTCGCACTAAGAAGTTGCGAAAAACATGCAAATAGAATTGAAGTATTGTCTTTTATGAGCAGATGGAAGTAGAACCAGCAAGGTTTAAACTTCAGGTAAACAATTAGTGTTCTCTCTAGAAGTATTAACGTTTTTCATAACATTATGTGAACAATGCAAGTGTATAATGATAGCAACATTGAAACAGGCAGAGAAACATAATTAGGCAGCTTTTAGTATATAAAAATGAAAATTCAACAACCAAAAATGAGATGGTTAATAATCAAATTCGATCCTTGGCATTCTAGGATATCTGAAGTTTTAGTGTCTGAATTATGATCTCTCCCGTGTAGAATTTATGAATTTTGTCTCATTTAAAGTCCAATGGGGTAAATCGCTTTATGATATGAGAATCACCTCGTCGAGCCCTATACACTTGATACATATGATTCAAAACGACGCGTCCCACTTGCATATCTTCCCTTTTAGATGACAACTAATTTGGTAGAAACAAAATATTAGCGATCATTGGAACGCTGATGCTGGAAAAAGTGACAAGTTCAAAAACAAATGAAATAGTTGTTCCGATAGTGAAGAGATCACTAGCAAGGAACTCAAATTTTGATTTGAAGTAATTCTATATTTCTTTTACAAGCCAATTGTTTTAGTTGATTGATTCAAAAAACTTTTATTTCTAACGTTTCTATTGATAGTCAGAAAACGTAGAAGTCAATGAAGAGATCAGCGGCTGAAATTTTGTTTTTTTGAATTTTGGAATCGAAAAAGATGATAGACAACATACTGGTAAAAAATTAAACAAGAACGTCTCCGTAAAAGAATGCTAGGGATCGAAAATTTGTGAAAGATCCAGAATCTATTCTTATGTTGTGGCGATGATGATTGAAGTTTCGTAAAAGTTTTACAGCAATTAACGACGTCGGTGATAGCCCAACTGATCTATCTACGCCCCTTATCACAAAAAACAACAAATTATGTTAAAAAGGTTTTCTTTCATCGAATTTGTAAAAGGTAGATTTACAGATTTCCTTTTTCTCTTCGCCTGGACTACGTGCTGAAATTAGTTGATTGATTTCATATTATGATATATTTCAAACGGACGCTGACATCTGTCATACTTCTCCTTGAGTTGGTATTTCATTCTAACTAGTTAAGATCTGTCGCTTTTTGTGCGTACCGAGATCTCTTTTTTATTCCTAAATCGAATTCAAATATTTTAGTTTTCCATTTTCTGTTATTGTCTAGATCTAGATACTAGTTTACGTTAGACATATGAGGGAACAGGAAAGAAAGCATATTGATCGAAAGAACAACCTACAATAGAGGTTAATGAAAAAGTAAAGAGAAGAACTATAAAGTATATAGATGGTTTCTATAGATGATAGTGGTATATTTTAGACGTAGGCTATCAATTTTTTTTGTCGTATTCCACTGTCATCTATAGCAGCCATCTATATATTTTATCGTTTTTCTCTTTCTTTTCATTCATTCTTATTATTTGTTGTTTTTTTCGATCAATATGTTTTCTTTCCTGTTCTCTCATATGGCTAAATAAACCAGTACCATTGTCTATATTTGAGATTTACTATCAAATGAAGTAAATTCCCTGCAAATCAACAAAATAATTCATGAAATCTCCTAATAACCATAACGATTTTTTCAACTTAATGCTTAACAATTTGAAAACTAAGCAGGCCACCATAGCTCGAATCATATCTTGAGATGATTAAAGTCAAAGTACAGGTGACTTTCGAGTCCTGAAAGGAGAGACATACGAAACCTCTGCTTTTTTCGTTAACTAATGTCAGAAAAAACAACATACCTCGAGTATCTTCTTCTTTTTGCTTTTATCAAGTGTTGTTGTTCGTTTCTTGTTTCGAATGAGAACCTATTATTCTCCTTGACTTTTTTAAATCTTTTATAGATGCATTCTCTCGGTATAGATATTGGTACGACATCATGCAAAATTTGTGTTGTTTCATCATCATCAAACGAAAAAAATAATAATATTGTTTTTACTGAACAACTTGCTCATAATGCTCATATTATTCAAAAAGAATGTGCTTCATTTGATGAGCAATGTCCATCAAAAATGCTTGAAACTGTCAATAAACTTCTAGAGAAATCAGATAGTCTTAAGAATGATTCATTAATTAAATCGATTCAACTTTGTGGTCAAATGCATGGTTTTATTCTTTGGTCATCAAAATCACCACGTACAATTGTATCTTCACTTGTTACATGGCAAGACCAACGATGTTCAACTGAATTTCTTTCAACACTTGGATCAGCTTTAGCACATCTACGAACTGGTTATGGTTTAGCTACTTTATTATGGTTAATTAATGAACAAAAAATAAAAGAAGATGAATTAACAAAATATGATAGAGCTGGTACAATAGCTGATTATATTGTTGAAATTCTTTGTGAAGATTCAACAATTAATTCACAAATATCAACTCAGATGGCAACAAGTTGGGGTGCTGTAGAAAATAAATGGCCTATTGAACATCGTTTATTACCAACAATTGTTGAACCAGGTACTATTATTGGTTACTGGAAGAAAAAAATTCCTGTTTATGTTGCGCTTGGTGATTTACAATGTTCTGTGTTTAGTTGTCAGCCAAATAAAAATCAAGGTGTTTTGAATATTTCAACATCAGCACAACTTGCTTTAGCTATTGATAGCCAATCATCAATGGTACAGAGTTCTCCTAGTGATAATATTTCATCATCAATGCGTGTTCCGTATTTTGAATCAAAAGATTTATTAGTTGCTGCTTCACTTAATGGTGGCAATATTCTTTCGACTTTTGTTCATTTAATTCATTCATGGCAATTATCTTTGAATAATAATTCGTCATTATCACTTGATAATATTTGGTCTCGATTAATTGAACTTGGTCTTCAATCATCATCAACGATTGAAAATTTTTCTGCTGCTTTATTTGGTGAACGACATGATCCGTCTATGGCAGCATCAATAACAAATATTCGTTCAGTTAATATGTCTCAATTGAATGATATTGGTTCTGTATTTCGTTCAATATGTCAATGGATAATTAAAAATTTATTTGAAATGTTAGGAAAAGATTCATCGATAATGGAGTGTGTTATTGGTACAGGTAGTGCTTTAATGAGAAATGATGTTTTACAACGAGAACTTAAACAAAAAGTGCAATGTCCAGTTATACTTAATGAACATTCTGATGCTGCTTACGGCGCTGCTTTATTTGCTTTGATGCAGTAACACTTTCTTTAATTTTTTATTGATTTATTTGTAGATAGGAAAATTTTAGATGGCAGAAGAAGATATTGTCGATGTTATTGTAGTAGGGGCCGGAATATCAGGTCTTTATGCAGCTTATCGACTCAAACAAACAGCGCCGGAACTTAAAATACTTGTACTTGAAGCAAAAGGTAAATGAAATAAATTCCAAATAAAATCAATTATATTTTGTTTAAACAACAACAAAGATCGAGTTGGTGGTCGCACATTAACAAGTGATCTTAAAATATCTCGTACTGGAGATGAAACAGATCGATTTGATCTTGGTGGTCAATGGGTGACTGAGTATGACATTTTTATGTTTACTCGAAATTATTCTATTTTATAATTTTTTAAGTACACAAGAAAATATAACAACATTACTTAATGAATTACAATTAGAAACATATGCACAATATCATACAGGCAAAAGTCTAGCAGAATTACATCGTCATGTACACAAATATTCTTTATCAATGCCATATATTTCTTTGCTTTCATTTCTTGAAAGTATTTATAGTGTTTTTCGTGTAAAAGACAAACAAAATTAAATTAATTTTAATTTTTTTAATTTTTCTATTATTATTTTTTAATAGCTTGAATGTTTGGCATCGAATGTTCCAACATGGAATCCTATGAATACAAGAAATGCTGATTATCTTGATGAACATACACTTGCAGATTTAATGAAACCATGGATACGCAATAGTAAGTTTTCTGATCATTGGATAAATTTATTTGTTTTTTTTTTTTGTTTCATTTCTTTGATTAAATAGGTGCAAAACCATTAATGACTGCTGCTGTGCGAACTGTATTTGGCTGTGAACCGGAACAGATAAATGCTCTATTTGCTTTCACATATGCTCAAGCAGGTGGAGGATTTATGAGATTAACATTAACAGATCCTGGTTGTGCACAAGAAAAGAAAATTAAAGTAAGAAAAGAAGAACAATGTTTTCTTTCGAATGATTATCGTACATAATTCTAGGGTGGATCACAACAAATATCGCAATTACTTGTTGAACGTATTGGTAAAGAACAAGTTCTACTTGATACACCAGTCCAAAAAGTTGTACAAAATGATGATGGTTCAGATGATTTTTATTTGTATAATTGATATTTTTAATGATGTTGTTTTTAAGGTACTATTTTTATAACTACAACTCAAAATCCAACAACATTTCAATGTCGTAAACTTATTTTAGCTATTCCACCTTCACAAATAAGTTAGTTATTTTATTTTTTCGATTATTTATTTATTTTTCTGCTTAGTTCCGATACAATTTGAACCAATGTTACCAGGATATAAACGTGAAATGCTTAAACATATGCCTATTGGCAGTTATCTTAAATTTATTTTTATTTTTGATAAAGTATTTTTTTATTATTTTATTACAAGCCATGTTTAGTTTTAATTGATATACATAGGCATTTTGGCGAGAGGATGGTCTTAGTGGAGAAGTTATTAGTGATGGAAGTTTTGCTCCACACGGATTTTCAATTGGTCCAATGACTTGTAAGTCAATATTTAAGTTGTCTTGCCGAATTTTTTCCTTTTTAAAGACAAACATTTGAGTGCTTTCACAAGTTATGCGTCGATTTTAAGCAACTCATGTGCAGAATTCACGAAAATCATACGAGTATACATATTTCAAACGATCAATTGGAATAAAATAATTCGAGCTTTTCTGTTCAGAAGGAAATAATACTCCTCATAGATGAGATCGGTGCAGGCCGGCACTATTTCTGATGCTCCTTGCCGTTCAATCTGTTAAAATCTAATTACTTACACACGGATAAAAACGTGCTTTATTTGTGTAGCTCATTGGAGTGCTGCACACTCTATTCCGAATATGTGTTTCACTCAGAATATGCTGTGTTCTCCTCTTCAAAAAAGAAACATAATGAGCTCATAATTTTCGTATGTTTTTACTTCTAGATTATATCTCGTTTATTAATTGCGTGAGAACATGTCGAGAGACCGATCGACGATAGAGGAAGGACTACCTTGGAGGAGATATGATAGTAATGAAATGAACTCTATCCAGTTAGATCTTACGATGTAATCGTCTTGAGCTGCAAGAAAAAATATCACTAATTCGAATTAAACTGAAAAACTAGTCATTATCTGCTAATACAGAAAAAAAATGTCAAATGCGTTGAAGAATGGATTCGAACTCCGTTTTCAAAATGTGTTGTACACTATGTCGCAAAGTACAATACACGCGACGCATTTTATTTTAGTGTGCACGTAGGTTCTCTTTTTTTCCTGTCTGTTAGAGTCTCTGTTATTCGAAATATGAGTTTCTATTAAGAATCGAACTATTTTGAACGTAAAACTGGAAAAAAGCTGGAAAGTTTCATAAGCTACAACAAATTTCGAGTGATAAATCTCAGCTTCGACCACCATGAAGCTTTACACTTTTTGTTTTATTTTTTTCTGAGCAAGAAACTTTTGCACGTTGCCTACTATACTTAATCATTTGTTTCTCATTGTGGTCTGATCTTCAGTATGAAATTGAATGCCAAATTAAGAAACACACTTGGTAGACCCCGAAAGATAGTTTAACTTTATACGACGAATCCTGCACTGTCTCAATTTAATTAATGACAAATACCGTGGTGAGGTCGAAGGACCATAGATGATTGTGAGAGATGTCGGCAGCATCCTTGTTCCTCTTTCTAGAAATCTACCAGACTTTTAGAGTTCTATTTCAGGTAACAGATTTAAGAACTTTTTTCTACAAAAAAAGCAATGATAGTATTTGTCATGTGATTGCTGATTGCTTATGAACTATCAACATGAAATAGTTGACAGCTACTGATATTTACATTGAGAGAACGGTTAAGACATTAAGAGAAAGAATTCTCTTATATCAAGAATGTTAAGCGACGGAACTAGAAGTTCAAACGATTGAGATCGCCAATAGATCTCGAGTCTTGTGCCAAGATGTGACCATATCTCATTGCTTTCTTGTGTAAAATATTCAAGTTCTTCATGCGTATGAAAAAACAAACTTGACTAAGATAATCGTTTGGTTTGTTTTCTTTTTGTTTAGATTTGATTGATGGTACAAGCTCCAATGGTACACCTGCATTAATAGGTTTCATCGGTGGTCGATGTGCTTCAGTATGGACAAGTGTAACATATGAAGAACGACGTAAATGTTTAACTGAATGTCTCTCTCGATACTTTGGTGGTCATAAAATTTCAACTCATTTAATTGAATATATAGAAAAAGATTGGAATTTAGAACCATATTCCGGTGGATGTCCATGTCATAATGCAACAACAGGATCAATGAAAGATTTTGTTGATGGTTTAAGAAAACCATATAAAAATATTCATTTTGCTGGTACAGAAACAGCTAGTCAATGGATGGGATATATGGACGGTGCAATTGATGCTGGACGACGCGCAGCATCAGAAATTTTAGTATCATTTCGCGACAATAATCAAACAAAAGATAATGAAATTGATCCATATACATTTGACAATCAAAGTAAATTATTTCATTAATTCTATGATGAAAAAAAAATTTCTTTATTTGATTATTTTTCATTTTTGTTTTAGATCGTAGATATCAACATATTCGAGTACCACGATCAAAATTTTATTTTGCTATTCCAATAGTTATTGTTACTGTCGTTGCTTTATCTAAAGTGTTTTTTCCGAAAATATTTCAGTGATTTCATTTTTTTACTTTTGTTTTTGTTCTTTATATATGAAATGATGTGTATTTTAGTCTTTTGATTTAAATAAATAAAATGATGTAAAAAATGTATCGATGAGAAGCTATCACAACAAGACAAATTATCACGACGTGGGAAAGATCCCATATGTCGAAAAATTCAACAATCAGCAGAATCCGAGCATATAAAGATCATTGTAGAGCATAAGTACATGGGCATGGCTACTCATAGCAACCAATAAATAAACAAGGCTCTGACTCGCTTAACGCCTAAACGTTCTTTCCGATTAAACTCATGAATCAAAAAAATTATGAAACGACGCACAGATGATAACTACCGCAGTATAAAGTACATAACTCAATGCATTCTCGAGATCTACATTCAAAGAACTCGCGAAACGCATTCGCTCTCCGACTAACTATCAATATTCAACACTTATATACACCAATCACAGATTGTATATACTTTCCGACTCAGTCTTAAAAAAACAGGAGCACCCATTATTCCACGCCACTATGCCTGAAGGTATTTTGTGGGTCAGGAGCCCAATTTTGAATCTCATACAATAGCCAAAAAAGCCTTTGACAAAGAATTATTCATCTACAAAAAAAAAGCACTATATCAAAGCGACCATACATTTAGGATGTTACTAAGACTACCACAAAACACTACATACACATCAATACTACCATGCACTTGACGAAAGTTTTTTAGTCACCAAATGGATATTATTTGCAATTGAATCGAGACAATTGCATTAAATAAACAATTCGATCGTCTACTAGAAAACATACACCGCAATGGAACAGTCCATCTTGGGTATAAAGAAAAGCTCGAAAAAAATATTAAAAATGGCATTCATGCCACCATGGATCTGAGTAACCTTTTTTCCGTTCTCAAACAATGTTCATTCCAAACGAAAAGAAATAGTTGCATCTGATACACAATTCAATTCTCTATTACAAAATGTACATCACAAAAAGAGAATCGATTTTCCGTATGAATGAAGTTCGAACAAAATATTACATGCCGCACTCATGACAAAATGAACCTCACACAACATCTTTTTCATTTCTCAACAAACATTCCTTCCAACACAATAAAAAACAATTATATCTAATCCACAATTTAATTCTCTATTAGAAAAAGTAAATCGCAGGGAGACAATAGATTTTAGATACAAATAACGTTCGACTCAACATGGACCTGAGGAATTTTTTCTTTGTTTCTCAAGAAATATTCATTTTAACAAAATAAACACAATTGCATCTGATATAGAATTTAATTCTCTGTTAGAAAATATTCAACCAAAAAAGAGAATTCATTTTACGTATGAAAACTGTTCGAACGGATTATAAGAGCTGCCATTTATAGCGACATTAACCAGACAAATTTTTTTCTTTTTCAAGAAATATTCATTGCAACGGAATTAAAACAATTCCATCTAATTCAGAATTGAATTGTCTATGGTTTAGACATATTTCAATCTCGTTACAATGCTCTATTACAAAAATTGAATGTCATCTTTCTGATGTTGTGCTCACTGAATGAGTGGAATAGATGGATGTTTTTTTGAAAATTATCGACTGAGGAATCAAACATGGAATGGTATTGTCTATAGTTATTTATTAAAATAATTTTTTAAGGAATAGAGATACTCTGATCGAGTTGCAAGGATCAGATGAAAAGGTGCGCTCTTGATTTCTGCCACAGGGCAGCATATGCGAGATCGTTTTTGGGACATTTGTGAGAGAATTGTTTCGATTAGAAGTCGAGTTTTTACCTTGGTTATATGTCATTTGAATGTGAGTTAAATGGTCTCAGAGTGACAGAGATATCGATTGGAGGGCATTGATTTTCCTTAGAAGCAGAAACAGGTGAATTGTATGTCTCAAACGTTTTGAAGTAGTTAATTTTCGATCAGGTCTGAATCGAGTGATTCGTTGCTGCGTATTGTGCATTGAAAGAAAAATGTTTTTTTTTGCTAGATGTTCCTTCGTTTGGTCAGATTTTTCTTGTGTTTTTACGGCTGTTGTCTCATTGTTTTTTATATTTACTCCTATTTGTGGACAGAGGTAGTTTAATCGCAAATTCGGCTGCTATTTTGATTTATAGGGTGCGCTAAGATTAGGCTTTGTATATGTGCTGTTTTGAATCGAGTGTTGTGTTCCACGAATGTTTTCACCTGGTTCGTGGTGCTCTTTGATTTGTTTAGTGATCGATGAATTATGGGAAAATGCAGAAGGTATAGTCTTGTAGTCGAGAAGTTCGTAAAAAGCGAGGATATTTTCAGTACTTTTTTTCGGATTGGGAAAAGTGTGTGCAAACATTGAGCATAGTATAGAGGCGGCTTACAGATTCGTTCTTGCCATGTAAATATTTTGGTATAGTGAGCTTTATATATTTTCAAAGTTATCGTTTTTTGAAGGGGAGAGAGAGGCTCAGTAATAAATCGTGTTAGTTTCTCACATAATCTATTTTAATTTGGCCTGGATGAGGAAGGTTTGGTTGAGTTTTGTGTATTGTAAATCAGTGGATCGCCTTTACACGTTATATGAGAGATAACATGTAGATGTATAGTATGAGGTATTCTATTTGTATGGCTGTCGCTGATTACTGATACCGTTGGAGAAAGTTGATCCATATATCTTAGTTTCATAACTTGTATTTGTTTATGGGATTATTTGCTTTCGAAAAATCACTTTTTGTGCGATTTTCTGAGAATTCATTTGGTTACGATTTTCAGAAGTTTTAGTTCTTTTTGAATATGAGTCACGGCTTCCTGCTAATTTTTTTAAAAGTTTTGCAGATATGAATTTATCAATTTATTTTAAGTGGAAATTTTGTCAATATCAAATATATTCAAAGTTAAATTTAATTCACACAATTGTAATTTTAAAAAATTTTTCATGTTCATTTTAAAATCAATGTAAATCCAACGGAAACTAAATAAAATTCAATTTTAAATGTAGTTAATTGATTTCAATTCAAGTAAATGTAATTAAATTGACTTTTATTTGATTGAGATCGAATTTAAATTGATTTTAAGTTTATATGCTTTAAATTTTTTTTTGGATATATAAAATTTTGGTTAATGTAAATTGATCATCCCTATTTTTGCATCAAAGCGCTTTCGGTAACTGGGGAAAATATGTAGATATTCTATGGACTCAGGTCGGTATTTTATAACTTTTTTTTCCATTGGTTCGTTCTATGTAATATTTGATTGGTCATCATGGTAGCTTCACATCGATAATAAAATTTATGCTTTTCCAGATAAGAAGAATGACGAGTATACTGGTTCGACAATTATGGTCAGGCATAGGAAATTCATCACTTCTTCGTCCAACCATTCAAATTCAACCATCAATACGAACAAAAATGGCACGACGAATTAATCGACATCGAGTGCCAACACATGTTAAACCAAGTGATAAATGGGCACAAAAGAAAACAGCGTATGAAACAAAAATAATCGTTAATTATATATAAAAAAATGTCTATTTTTACTTTCTAGAGCTCGAACAATCGAAGCTGATGTCGTTTATGATGATGAATTTGCTAAAAGAAAACCAATTGATAAAGTATGGCTAGTTAAAGAATATCCTGTTCGATCATGGCCACTTGAAACAGTTTTACAATGGCATCGAGAAATGGTTCAACCAAAAATGCTTAATTCAATGGATTCATTTGTTTGGGCACGACTTAGACTTGATATGACAACATCTAAAAAGGTTTTATATTAAAATAAATATTTATAATTATTTGTAATTGTTTTAGACGAAATTTGTTGAAAATGTCAAAGGATTAGTAACATTTCCACATTATTTTGAAGATCGGCCACGTAAAAATGTTGTGCTTTTCTGTCGAGTAAAGAATTTTAATTTAATTTTTCTTTTTAAAGAATTTCTGCTTTTAGCTTCCTGAACATATTAAAGCGGCTGGTAACGGTTTAAAAAAATTTTTCTCTTCAATTAAACTTTTTTAAATAGAGAAACATGGTGCTTATATGTTTGGTTATACTGAAGTGATTAAACAAGTATAATAAAATGGATTTATTTTTCTCTTTAAGTAAGTTTTTTTTTCTTGTAGTTTGAACGAGGTGATGTGACCGATACTAATTATGAATATGTATTATGTGCACCAGATGTTTATGCTGATATTTTACATTTGAGAAAAAAAATTTCGAAAGATAAATTTCCTAATCCACAATATGGTATAAAATTAAACAGTTAAATTTAAGTTAAAATAAAATTTTGGCTTTGTTTTTTTCATAGGTAGTCTTCATCCAAATGTTGATAAAATGTTAGAGAAATTCATTCGTGGTAAAGAATATCAATCAGTCAAATATGAAGAAACTCGTGCCATACTTGAACTTCGATTTGGCATTGTAAATAGTTAAATAATTCGATTTTACTAATTTTTATTTTGTATTTTTTTAAATTAAATTTAGATAAATATGCCTCAGGAACAATTAATAGAAAATTTTCAAGCACTTATTGAACAAGTCAGCACACATTCACAAACAAAAGTTGGTCCATTTGTAACTGGATGTTCAGTTTATTGTCCACCATCGACAGAAGAATTTCGAGTTGATGTTACACCATTTCTTCCTAGTGAAGAAGATGTAATTGAAAAAAAAGAATTAGACAAACAAGTTGTTGATGAATTGATTAAAAAATCAACACCTGAAATAGGAGATGACTTACTTAAAGCGTTACCATCAGTTAAATAAAAATCTCAATAACAAAAAAAAATATCGTTCATTTGTTAAAATTGTAGTTTTTTTTTCTCATAAAAAACTGTATTTCTAGATGTTAAGGAACAAACCAAAGACAAAATTTCCATAAATATTATTTGGAAATTTTTACAAATGAATGTTTCATATTTATGTATCGATGATATTCGACTCGTTCATGATTGAATTTTTCCATCAAGTTTCAACAAATATTCAAAAATGATAATAATGAAAAACAAGAATAAGTCTCTCAGGAATAGTATTAAATACCTTCACGAATCTTACTAAAGGATAGTATGTTCAAATATCAATGGAGGAGAATCAAATTATAAAATACCAATCGTGCGATCTAATCATTTTTTAATTCAATGACCTTTCTGTCATTCTGTTGTTTCTTATTCAACTACATTTCATTCGTTTTTACTTCAACGGTATAAAAATAGAGATACTCTAATAAATAATGCATAAAGTTATTGCGGCTGCTATTGATTCAAATATTCTTTCGTCCTCAGAATCATTTATTGATCAATGTTGTGCTAACAATGCTGAGTACGCTCGAACTTAAGATAAAAAATTTATGATTTTTGAGCTCCACCATCGAAACATTTAGCTGTCGTATGTTGTATAGATGCGTGTTTGGATATATTTCGTATTCTTGGATTAAAACCAGGTGAAGCACATATTATTCGAAATGGTAAATAAATTATGAATCCTTTCAATTGACTCCTTATTTGATTTTATTTAAGGTGGTGGTCGTATTCGTGATGCTATTCGTCCACTTATTTGTAGTCAAACATTACTACAAACAAAAGAAGTAATGATCATTCATCATACGGATTGTGGTTTTACTTATTTTTCAAACAATGATCAAGTTTTAACTACTCTTAAAATATAGTTTTTACTTTCATTTCACATCATCTTTTTTTTATAAATTCTTTGCTTTTTTTTTGGTTACAACCAGGGACTGAAGTCGGCAATTTATCTCTTTTTCAAACAATGCTTGGACAAGTATCAGCATCAACTATACCAGATTTTATGCTAATCGTTGATTTAGAACAATCTATTCGTGATGACTTAGCTGAATATAAAAAATATCCAATGCTCAATCAAAATGTTACAGGACGAGAGTATTTTATATAATATAAAAACTGGTTTACTCAAAGACATCGGATAAGTGACGATAAAATTTAATTTATTCATGCGCAATTTTTTTTTTCTCTTTGTTATTGTTATCATATAAGTCAAGCTTTATTAAAATTTTATTTCTTGTTTTATCTCTTCTGATAAAACTATATAAAATATGAAAATGATTTCAATATCTCTCATAAATAAATACAAAATCAACAATGGTTATAGAAATGTAATTCTATTCGATTGATCTTGAGATTATTAATAAACAAGACTGATATGTCTTCATAAGAATTTGTTCATTTTATACATAATTTAATCAAAACAAAGTAATATTACTCTTAAGAACATATAAAGAATCGTACAATATATTTTCGTCCAGTCGAATAAATTTTTTTAATATTTTTTGTTTTCATTTGATGTTTATCTTTCGTTGACGTTTCATTATAAATACTCGCCAATGAATAAAATTGTGAACAACGTTGTAATTCATCGTTATGTCGTTTAGTTAGTAAATTAGCAATATCAAAGCCTAATAAATTTTCATTGTTTTTACTTAATTTTGTTTGTGTCTTATTGACTGGATTACCCATTGCAAATGCAATAATTTCGAATTTTGTTTCCGGTGTGTAAGTTGTAGATGATGATATACTTGATATAAATGTAAATTTGTGTTCCATGTACTAAAAATCTAATAGTAGCTGTTGGATGTTTATAAGAAATATTTGAGAAGCTTTAATGAAACACATCGTTTTATAATAGGGAGGCGAAGATAAGAAGAAAAAAATCATAACTTATGCTTAAATAAATAAAAAAAAGAATGCTTGTAAAAAAATGTCATGTAGACATACTTCAACAAAACAGATATTTTAAGGCAAGAAAATGGTATTTTAGGTTACCTATACATATTTTTACAGTTTTTCTTTCTGATAAAGAAATGGGTATTATTTTTCGTAAGGCATATGTCAAGGCTGAAGATTTGAATTCATATTTCTGATTGCCACTGTTTGATTGCAGTAGAAATGTTAATAATACTCAAGAATGACAAACTACGCTCCTCTTATAAGATTTTTTAAAATAAACTTAATACTCAATAATGAATATATTTCTTTGATTTTAGTTAAATATCTTAAAGAGTAAGTTTACAATCATATGGACTTAATTATCTATGCTCATGTACTACAAGAATTTTTTCTTTAGATCCGACTAGATATTCCTATTATAAGTGATTCAATGTTTCGATTCATACACAAGATATGATTAACGATTTTTTGCTATTAATACAAATATTCTTAGTGATTTAAGCTTAAAAGAAGTTAAAATCATTAAATGATCAATAAGAAAAATATCTCGGGTGGTTGTTTATTCAAAAAACATAAAGAACATAATTCCGAGCAAAATTGCTTTTGCATTCAGTATAACTAAGGATAATATACATGGTCAAAGCAGATATAGTTACATAGACGCATAGATATACTTTCGCTCAAATAAATGATATGTGACAGAAACACAGAAAATATTCAATAATAAATAACGAATGAAATATGTTTGGCAATTCAACCGAGATCAAGAAAGCATGCTCGTAAACAACTGTAAGTCGTCATATAGGAGCATATTACATGGCTTAGTATAACGATAATATTATTCCATATACAATACAAAGAAATATGCTCATAATATTGAACTAACTATGTAATACACCAGAGCACGACCGTTTCTGAGTATATATGGATATCGTATTCTTCGTCCTGGGACACGTAAAAGCGACGAGAAAGAGAAATACACAAATAAATATGTGACAGTTGGAATGGTTATATAATCTTTTAGTTATATTTAAACCCTTGAGAACGAATTCATTGTGAGAAGAAATATAAATTTTTGAAATTCTGAGACAATGTACATGTACATATACATGATGGGATTGGTGGCTTGAACTAGAATGCACTAGAAGAAATAGAATTCATGTGAAAATAACAAAAATACTAAAAGAGAAATTGATAGTAGATATTATCATTCATCGAAAAACCAAGAAAACAATATAGAAGTAATGAATCTAATCGCAAGAAAAAGAAGATGAATGAAAGTACAATACGAATAATAGTTTCAGCTTAGATTTGAAATGGTGAATCCATAATTTGTAGGGTTCTCTTTATCATTAAAGTATCATAAGAGACTAGTGGCGTAATCACCAAGGGACTAGAGAGAGATGAACTGTCCAAAATGAACAATATTTCTCGCAATAAAAACGACTTGAGCCTCGTAGTAGAAATTTTCCTCCATTAGCTAATCTCTTCTCGTTTCTAGTCGAACGTTTTGACCGAAATCACTACAAGAAACATGCAGAAGTCAGCTACTATCAGAATCAGAACTGAAGCACATAGTATATATGTACTCCTTACCCCGAAGGAGTTAACAAATGTCAAAAGATATAAGCTATGCTTGGTGAAGCGAACAAAATATATCTTATCGTCTTTCTTTTCCACTCTACATATTACTTCGAAGGCAGAAGAAAAAAATAAACAACCCATCATTTTGCTTTGTCGATGTACAACATAAGACATAGACCAAATTTTCCTATCATCAGTATATGAAAGTCTCGTTTTATGTCTATCATATCAGCCTTCTAGTGAAAAAAATCTAAAATTTAATGTTTGTTATTTGATGGATACAGACATATCAAACAAGTTTCTTAATTGTTAAACTAAGTTTACGATGAGAAAACAGCGTATGTTGAAAAAGACACAATGGGATAATCAGATTATCAGAAATTGATTGATATCAATATTATAAAGAATTTAATAGATTTTTCTAAAGATTTTTTAGATGATTTTGGGATAAGCAGAAAGTTTGAAGAGAGTGTTATTTATTTTACCTTAAATCAACTATATTAGTGTAGAACTAAACATGTAACATTTATTATATTTTGGTCATAATCAAATGTATGCTTTAAAAAATTATTGATGTAGTATATCAAGTATTTCAATTCAGAATCAAATGTATATTACAGAGAAATAATTTTATTTTTGTTTCTTAGATAGACTATGAATCGATACCACTTTTTGTGGATTATTTCTCTCAATTTGAATCAGTGAGATTGAATTGGGTTGAACATCGCCTTTATCATAAAAGCTCTTCCAGCTTCAGTTTATTAATCGATAAGAAGTTATTTCTTTTACTTTCTTATTTTTTGTCTTTGTTTTTCAATTATAAACTTTTAAAAACCACATATTATTTTCCGTTACAGACTTCATTTTTCAATCGTTCAATTTCTTTTCTGTCGTTCTAATGAGAAAGTAACAATTGAGCGACATCCATTGGCCCATAGCAAGAAGTGGACACTACGACAATTAGTCACTGTAATTGCATATAGCACCACATAAGTAAGGATGAGGGTAGCATGTGGAAAATAAAGATTTACCTCATGGAATGGATTCGTAGGTAATCTTATTGGTAAATGGTAATTGAATGTTCACATTCACATTTTTAATTTATCGAAATGTTATGAAAAGACAAAAATTAGATTTATTGTCGTATTGCAAAAACTGAAGATAACAGAAGCTCCAAAATCAAGAAAATTTATATGGATTATGATAAATTTTCGAAGCCATTAATAGTTGCTCTCATGTATGGCTTCATGTTCAATCAGAAGAGTTTACTGAATATTCATTGTCTTTGAATAGATTATTAGCTATTTTCCATACTTCTTGGATTTATTTGTCTATAATATAGCGCAAATTTTGTTATCGATTTTATTTTTCAACATTGCAGTCAACCTACACTGTGACTCATTGCCGTAGAACCAGAGCGATGTTAGATTGTTTTTTTCACCTCATCTGTCTCCGTTCCTTTCTATCGTACATATTGTCCTTGATGTCTTAGTAAATAAAAGTTTGCAAACTTCTTTTTTATTCGCAGACCATCAATATTGTCTGACTTGACTTATTTGTAATCATCATGAAAAGTACTTGAAAAATTTATCCGAATTAATATTTTGTATGCAGAAGCAAAACGGAATTTTACATCTGTTTTTCACATTGTAATCATATGTTCATATAATATATATCATTTCATGTGATCATATGCTATTATGTCGTATACATTGACCTTATTTCTAGAAGAACTTCTATCCATGATCTAGTAAAATAAAATAAAAAATAAAACAAATTGATTTCGAATTTGAGACTGTACGATGCTTCATTTGAAATATTACAACCAAAAAAAAAAAAACAATTTTTCTTCCGTCTGATTAAATGCATCGTAGAATAGATTAAAGTCCAGTTCAGATTAAAATAGTCTAATCTGTCCTAGATGATTATAAAATAATGTTGATTTCAACTAAAAAGATATCAAACTGAACTATTTAGTCTGGACTGTATTTCGATTTGTACTGCGAGATATACGTACCGTTGTTGGCTATACTTGTTTATTATGATTGCTGAATTGTAGATCAATGAGGACACTTTATTTGATGAAAGACAACAATAGGGAAATGCAGCAACCTACTACTTTTACCACATTATTTTCATAACCGTTGTACTTTTTTTTGAATAAATAATAGAAAATTTCATTGATTGAGTTCGGATTTATTAGGTTAGATAAACCATCCAAAGTACGATTATGAGTTTTATATTCCTTTACATTAAAAACAAAAAAATTATTCATGATTTTAACGGTACAGTTTCAGTTTCCACTGCTACGAAAACAGAGTATATAATAGAGATATTTGTTTGGAAGTCATTATGAAAAGCGTTTTTTTGAACCTAAGGAATATTGCCCTAATACATATCCTTCTCCCGTATTATTCTGTCCAATAATGAAAATTCGAGCATAATAGATGCACGCATACAAAAGTTATTCAAAAAAAACACTGAAATGCATTTGAAAAAAAAACTTATCCAGACGGAGAGAAAAAGGAAAATAAATATTTTCAGTTCTTGTTTGATCCTGTCTCATCTCCGTTCTGTGCACATGTTTAGCTTATCCAAAACATTTTGCACTTATTTGACATTGCGATTGTGTTATTCTTTTATGCATAAATTTAAGACATTTTGTGAGACACTTCTATATTTGTCACTGAATCATCCCTTTGCATTTTTTTTATCGATTGGAATTCATTTCAATATATAAACATAGATGAATTGTGTGTTTGCAGCTGCTCTTAACTCCGATGGTCTATTTCCTTCCAGATCATTTACTGATCAATGTTGTGCTCGAAATGCTCAATATACTTGAACTTCTGATGAGAAATTTTACGATAATCGCCATTTACTATCGAAACATTTAGCTATTGTATGTTCCATGGATGCACGTGTTGATGTTTTCCGTATTCTTGGATTAAAACATGGTGAAGTACATATCATTCAAAATGGTAAATAAACGTACGAGCACATCTTGATAGATGGCTCTTTTCAACTTCAATTCTTTTTTACCTATGAAACTAAATAATATTCTAATGCGACTCTTAAAAAAAATTGAATTCTTATTCCAAGTTTGAGGAAACTATCGAGTTTTTAGTATATCTATTGTTCAGTTACTCTTATAGGAGCCTAGCTTACAGAAAAATCGTTCTTTCGAGTTTTTCTAGGAAACTACTTTTACTGAAAGATCTAGCATTGGCTGGTGTCAATAATGAGTTTCTTTATTTTTAGGCTTGATATCGATGAACGTTTGTATCTCAGAAATGTTACGGTCCGAAAATACGTTTTTTTCCAGAACTTGGAGAAATGCAGAAGTCTATCAAAAATAAGCATATTTAAAATTTTATAGCTCGCTCTAATTGCAATAAGAACTCAAATACTGGTAAGTATTTTACCAGAACACTCCATAGTATATGTAGACAAAGAAGTCATTGATATCAAAAGGTAAAATATAAATAAGTTCGCTTATAAGTCAAATCAGGTCTATTGGTTAAACATGAACGAATTCGATTTCGTCACATTTAAATGAAGATTCGAGAAGAAAGATAATTAAATCTAAATGACTTCTCAGTATAAGAATAGGCAGAATTGGACAAGACAGATCCGGTCAGACTTGACTCGACGTATGACTTCAAGACATGCTGACTGGCCGAGCTCTGGTAGTACAACGTCTGAAAGTTATGGCCAATGATAGAGACTTGTTTCGGGCTCTGTCGGCAAATTTTCTTTAGATTGAAACCAGAATCAAAACGGCAAGTGTTACTCATGTCTAATATTGATTATTTGATTTTATTTAAGGTGGTGGCCGTATTCGTGATGCTGTTCGTCCACATATTTGTAGTCAAACATTATTCAAAACGAAAGAAGTAATGATCATTCATCATACTGATTGTGGTTTTACCTATTTTTCGAACAGTAGACAAATTTTGGCTTCGCTCAAGGTTTGCTTATTCATTCTTTATAAATCTATTCTTCTTCAAACTTCTTATTTTCTTCTGAATTTTATAGGTAAGAACAGGAACAAGAGCGAAACAATTGAGCCCCTCACAACTATCATATTACGAAAACGATCTTGACTTTATGCCAATTATTGATTTAGAACAATCAGTTTGTGTGATCTTGCTGAATATAAACAATATCCATTGCTTAAACAAGATGTTATTGTTCGAGGATTTCCATATGATACCAAAACAGGTTTTCTCAAAGAAATAAAATGATTGACAAGAATTGTTTTTTAATTTCAATCATAATTGTTTCGTTATGATAATAATAGAGTGTATTTATTTCAAATCGATATTCTTATCGATTTCTTTAGTAAATTAAAGCATTGATTTGTGATTTGTTTAAGAACCAATTGAAACTGAAATGCTTGGGCTGTCACAAATAAACATCGGATACAATCAGTTGAGTTGTAAATACTAGGATGAGAATGTGACTATAGCTATGTTCTGAGATCTTCTTTACATATAAACTCTAATGGACCATGCGTATGAACGAGAAACAAAGTGGAAATATTGAATAGAAGCATTGGCGACGTTGAAAAGTCAAGTATCGTCTAATAATAGAAATGCCAGATCATTCTTTATTATTCAGCTGATTAATAAACCCAATAAAAAAATTATAATTGAGGATGAAATTAAACAGTTGCATATTAAATCGAATTGGTTGATAATATTGGTTTGAGAAAAGAAGAAGACATCGATTTACTTCTGTAATAAGCTACATATTAATTGTACTATCATAACCAGATCTTGTCGACAAACCCTTATCTGTGGTTGGTTTAAAGAACCAATTTTGAGAACATGTTTTGCCACATATTATTCAATTATCATTAGAAAGAATGACATAAGCACTAAGTGATTAGTTTATAAATTATAAGTAGCTGGTTGCTAGAAATGTTAATCTTGATGCACGATCCAAATGGTTATTTACACTCGATTTTAATTGTTCAAGCCATCAAGTATGTTCATCAATGATATTTTCGAATTGAACATTTTTCGAATCGAATGTTATGACTAATCTTGGTTTTTGTGCTACCACCTTAAGGCATTTATTTCTACATTTTTCGTCATGATCAATGCATTCTTGAAGTAATTAGATTAGACGTTTATGTGCCTTTCAATCACCCTCTATGACAGCATAAATAACTACTTTCGATTGAATAAGATGAGCATTGACTTAATATGATGCAATGGAGCCTTCTAACAAGTTTTGTTTGGAACAGGTCAATATGTGCAAAAGAAAAACAAAACAGAGCAAACGAGTACAGCTCTTTTTTTAGTAGACAAATTTGTATATAGTATGTGACAGATGTACAATATTATCAAGAAAAAAGACAGAACAAACAATAATAGTGACAGAAAAAAGAAGTCAATCTGTCACTTCTTAATAGGCAACAAGAAAAAAGAAAACATAATACATAATTATTGATACAATGCCATCAATCAATAATACCAACTGAGATACGTCACTAGATTTTCTTTCATTTATTCATTTTCATGATATTTAGCGAACCTTGTTTGCAAGAACAATAACGATGATAAGGCGAGATTATCTGCAATCAAACGTGTTCTTATTTGAAAAAAAAATCTTAAAAAACATATGTGATATTAGGAAAAGGTCGTCGTTTGGATAGGCTGCTTCAAAATTTTTTTTTATTCGAAAAGTATATTACTACAAATTGCCGATCAGTTTCAAAATCTTTACAATACGTTAATTTATTTTGAACATTTTAAAATACTAGAATATGATATTTTTTCTTTGAATTGATTTCATACACCTTCAAGAAAAAGATTATTTTTTATTTTTTGATGATTCATTCAGCATGAAGTATTCGATTTGACGACAGGACTTCTTCAATGTAAGCGCTTGTATTCCACCTTCTGTAAATATACGAAGCTCCCTAACAATAACACTATCTTTTATATTATCATTATTGACATTTATAAACTTACAATGATAACATTATTAAGATTAAATCCTCTCTAAAAGGTCTTTGATTTAATCTTGCTTTCTGCTTCTGACTGAGTGTAACTGATATAAAATTTTTAAAAAAGTACAACGTAAAGAGAACTTGAGATGCTGACTAAGTTACTCATTGCATTTCAGACGTTATGGACAGTTATGACTCTCGCTACAATCGAACAACAGTACCGTACTATACTGGGAAATGCTGAAGAAAGGTAAATGTAATCGATGGTCATGTTACTTATTCATTTTTTGTTTCAAATCAAATTTTTGACAAATACTACAAGGATACACTTTATCTTAAAAGAGAGATTCCCGATTAAAATATACAAGAAGTTCTCACATATTCTCATGACTTAATAGTTTATCTACAGTTTTTTTTCTAATTTTCAAAGTATCAGAATTTATTCAAAATCTTTTTTCATTTCCATTTGAATCTAAGACTTTTAGAAGAACTAGTTTTTGTAAATGAAATACTCACTACATACGTTGTTCTATTCTGTTTAGATCTTATAAGTCTTTCTAAAAACATGCGGCAACTGCCGGACAATTTCCAATATTTTTCTAGTATATGTTGTTGAGGGTTAACACTTTTTCTATTAATAGGTTGATGATAAGGCAATCTCAATTTACAGAACGATCAACAAATATCGAATTCGGTCATGTAATTGATTATGCCGATTACCGTCTTTATAAATTGATACCCAAAGGTGGTTCCACTCGAGCTCAAACATTTACAGTCAACAAATGGCTTGAAGAGTACTTGCAAGAATCATTTGAAACACCTAATCGATCTTATCCTAACGTTGTTCAATTGTGTAGCACAACAATGCTGGCTTTTTTCATTCGAAATACCACTATTTCTGTGAAAAACATCAATGCTCTTCTTTTGGCTCGTCTAGAAGCATATGACAACTCAAAATATATCTGTTATATCAGTGTTTTGAAAGAACATCGCCAAAACGGTCTTGGCACAAAATTATTAAACGAACTTATCAAAGACGCTATTCGAGCAAAGAATTCTCGAGTCTCATTGCATGTGAACACAGAGAACCAGAGTGCTATGTCACTCTATTTAAAATGTGGTATGCGATGTATTGACTACATTCCTGGCTATTATTTTGGTGATCAAACATACGCAACTCAAAACGCTTTTACAATGACTTTACAAATAAAAAATGTTAAAAATACTACAGCAGTCTGTCAATCTACAACTGCTGTTGAAATCTCTTCACAAGAAGAAGCGTTTTACAAGCAAAAATGTCCACGAGCATATAACGGATGATTTCGAAAAAACATAATTTTTTTTATTGTAGAGCACTTTTTAAAAAGAAGCAAATGAAAGTGTGTTAAAAAAAATGCTATTTGATCGTCATCTAGTGGAAAACATTTGCCCTATTTTCTCTAGCAGAAAAGACAACTAATAGTCCGGCTTATGTTTTTAATTTCTATCGAAGTTGTTATTTAAATGATCATTTTTGAGAATTCTTGCATTCCTGAGACGAATAAGAAGCGATCTATTTGTGCAACCAGTGATAACTCATATTGAAGAATTATTTTTATTAGATTTTTCTTACTGGCACCTTCATTTTCAATATACAAGTCATTTTCTCAATTGTTTTGTAGAGGTTTTTGCGATAAAATGCTATAAAATATTAATACTAAACATCGATTACTAAAGTCTTTCTTGAATATATGTAGTAAATGTCAACCTTTTTAGAATTTTATGTTGTTCTATTTTATTCATTCTAATAAGTAATATTTATGCGAAGAAACAATATTTTAATATTATGCAAGAAAATATTGAGAGATAATGGCAAATCTCAAATTAATATCAGTTTTCACTAAATATCTACTTTCTGATGTCTGATTTTTGAAAAAGAAATTCATGACAACAAGCAGAAAAGCAAAAATAAGAATTTTACTCCTAGTAGCATTTCATTATTACGTCCGCACTCTACAGGAACTTCTCAATAATACATTTATCTATATGAAATATGTAACATTAAAAAAGTAAGTAACTGATAAGTCACGTCTTATTGTTCTTTATTCATTCTTATGTTTCTTATCATTGTTATCTACTATCATATGTTATAGCGGGTATGGATGCAAAAAAGACCTATGTACCAAACGCAACATCCATCGGAACCTAGGTAGATACAGAGTGTTATCGATCTAAACGAAATACCGATCTGTTATTAAGAAACCGAAACAAATATTCATTTCGACTTCTTGTGTATTCAATGCTCTTTTATTCAGCAGTATCTTATTCGATGTTTCCCTTTTAACATTCTCTCTTTGCATTATCTTATTCGCTTTTCATTGTACATTTCTCTTCCGATATTTTTAAGCAAATCCTCGAGAATATGTGTTTGGTACAAAAATCAAAGAACAAAAGTTATAGGTTGAGACACAAAATATAAAGCTTATCAAATAATAGCTGTATAATTTGTACAGGATCTTGCTAGTTTAAAATAATTTTACTACAAAGATTTAAAAATTAGCACCAATATGAGATTTGCCACTTTATGATATTGAATAAATTTCCTACATTATCTAGGTGTAAATTGTGTCGATGAATTCCGATGTGACAATAAAATTTACTTAAAATTCTCTTTAACAAATTCTACTATGATCTATCTTCTTTCTTCATTATTTAACTATCACGAAACTAATTAGAGATGGACATGAGATAATAAATTTCTAGTCTCAATTAATTTTCTTATTTAAAATAATTCAGTTAAAAGTGCTGAACATGTATGTGTAAATAAAGTACAATAAAATTGTTACATGCATAGATATTTTAACACATAAGTGCAACGATTCTAATTCAAATATTCATTATCATTCTCAGATTTTTTATTAATCTCAGAGATAAATATATTTAATAAGGTAGTCAGAAGAAAATACTTGCAAAGGAAACAATCTTTTTTTAAATTAGAGAATACTTAAGATTTATAACCAGATATATACTGATGATCTATCGAATCGATATGTATAATTGAACTTTTGGGAACATCGGCTTTGATCCAGAGTTGATTTAACTTCGATAATACTCTTGTTTCTTTGTTCTTCGCTGAGAATCCAATTTGAAAAATGAAATGATACAGTTAATAATTGAGGAAATCGATTGATGAAACAAAATACTTCTGTTGTTGGGCACCAATGACATATATTCAGCTGTTCGATCTTAGGAAAGACAATGCATAACTGTTCAATACTGTAATTGACTTCATAATTATCACTCATTGAATAGCGATTACCAATGTCGAGTTTTCGAATCTTGTCATATGACTTACATTGAACTTCTTCAATAAAATATGTTATTTTATTTCTAATGGAAATTCGCCAAAGATTTGGCATTTCATTTAAAAGGCATCCCATTCCAGAATAATTTGTTGATGAACATAAAATCAAATTTTGTATTCGATTTAGATCAACAATCTGCTCGATAGATGATAAAGGAATGAAATGAAACATAGCTAATGTGCGAACTCGAAGAAAACGTTGATTTATGTCAACAACAGGTTCTGAAACAGTTAGTTGAGTAATGCAATCATAGAAAATTGTGTTGTCAGACAATGTCGAAACAGTAATTGGTTGAAATTCTTCATTGGCACAAGTTTCAGCAAAGCTAGGTACAGAAAATAAAGATCTATTTATGGAAGCTACAAACCAATGTTTCTCATTAAGCCAGAATGAGCTACGAAATGAATCAAGATCTTGTGATTCTAAATCTTTTGGTATGGAAAAATAGAAGTTGAACATTATAAGACGGCTTGTTATCATTTGCCATCGTTGACCATCAACAAGATCATCGTGACCGTTTGCATGTAATTCTAAATACTTAAGACTAGGAAGATTTCCTAATAGTTGTTCCATGTTTTTCATTGAGACAGATGAGCCTAAAAATTGAAAAAAAATTATTTATGAATATATTAATAATCATATGATCCAGTATCTTGATCATATAGATTCATAAGATTCCTACCTTCAATTTTTAGCGTGAGTCGATTCAGTTTGCCAAATGGAAAAATAAATTCCGTAGTCGATTTATTATATCGAAAGTTAGTGTTCAGTGATTTAAGTTGCGGTGCAGCATGAAGAATATGTTTTATAATGTCAATGTTACATCGTCCCAGTGTTAAGTGATGAAGACAAGGAAACTGAACTGATCCCAAAAAATCTCCATGAGACAATGCCAGTCGATTCAATTGAGAAAGTATTGGACAGTAACTATTAGACAAACGCTTATCAAGTTCAGTGACTTCATCATCTGAAATATTAGAAACCCACGATTCGATTCTAGTCGATGAAATATATAAAAATGAGCGTAAATATTTAAGGCCTTGTAATTTTGTAACAATTGATTCCCAAAAGTCTGGTCCAATATCAATTAATGTCAATGAACGAAGACAAGTAAACTGATCGATTTGAAAGCGAGATAGAAAGATTTCAACTTGACCTGGTGTATTTTCGTCGTCACATAGTGTTAATGAAATAACTTGATTCGGTATGATTTGCCGACAGACAATGTCAAACTCTTTTTTTGTAATTGATTTAAAGTTGACACAGTAACTTGAGTAGATGAGTAACACATTATCGATATAAAAACTAATATTAGTAAGCGTATAAAAAATTTCCTGGGCGGAAAAATAGCTTAATAATTGATGAATAAGCTCGACAGGCAATATGTCTAGTCGACAGTGAGCCATTGCAGCAAAGAAAGAAAAGTGATCAACAATAAAATTCGTTTTCGTTTTAACTTTGTACTTCAAAATATTGACTGACACGTGCACATTCACTATTGAATATGTTGCTTTCACTGTTTTTCTTCCTACAACAGCAGCCATCAACGAAAACAAAAAATAGAAGAAAGCAAATAAAAACTGCATTCTTACTTATGAATTTGTTTTACAAGAATCAAAATAGAGAAGATATTATTCTATGAATCAATTCAGAAAATCAAAGCATTTTTTAAAATGTGTTTTTTTTTATTTATTTCTAAAAAATTTCTAAAATAGTCGTATTCCTAATTAATATCGTCCGCTATCAAAAGCCAAGCATTCGGAGAAAAAAAAGTAAAAGAACAGAAACCAAGAGTAAAAACGAACAGTGAGCATGTGTAGGGGCTGAATTACAAAGATGACGTCGACAACAATATCGAGCCGTGCTTGAAAAGACTCCTGGGATGGCCATACTTGGATCATTATAACTATCTTGTCGACAATCAGATGATGCACCACGTGATACCATTTGTTGATTTCCTCGACCTGATCGCCATACAATTTTCTAATCATAATAGAAATTAATAAGAAAAAAAAGATCTCGATACATATGTGCTTACATAACACCAATCTTCTGGACGAGCTGTAATACGAACACCACGTTGAGTATTTAAACAATTTTCACAATAATAACAATCAAAAGTATAAGTAAAATTTGGAATGTGCACAAGTAGAACTTTAATAACGAAAAATATATCAGATAACATTGAAGATCTGTATTTTTTTAGAATAACTTACACAAAAATCCAAGTGTCCATCCAAATTTATGCTTCATGTTTTTGTAAAAATTTGGCAACAAGTAAATAGTTAATCTGTCTTTGCTCTTTCTTCATCAGAGCAAGAGAAAAGGTCAATGTTATGCGCACCACAGAATATTGAAGTGATGGGTAACATAGTCATGTAATGAATAGCTCTTATATGATCAATGTCACTATAATAAGTATAATTCAACTCATACAAAGCCTGACAAATCACATCCAAGATTTTTTTTTTCACTTCATATTCTTGTTCATTGAGCATCAGTGTGAAGCACTTCATATTATGGATATAATTTACATTCTATATAAATGATGCTTCATTCAAAAGAACGAGAAAGAGTTGGTTTTTATTACAAGCTTATGAAGAAATAATCGAATGAACGAATAGTAGCATATTAAGATTCATAGCAGGAGAAAAGCAAAAACTATATATCACATCTTATAATCAAAGAACTTTTATTTGTATCAATAACTTTTATATACGAGAATAAATCTTTAAATAGAAATATATCTATATTCTGACTGAAATTCGATCTTTATCGTATACACCAATGTCACTTAAAGTTGAGAAACATGAAAACTTTTGTTCTCTTTCTACGATTATTTTATTTACTGTTATTCAGATAAAGAATTCTAGGACATTTACATATGTTAGAAATATACATGTTTTGTATCCAGAATTTTCCCACTATATTATACTTTGTTGTATATGGGATTTTCCCAAGCTTCTCTCATGTATATATATATATGTATTCGTTATAGTGTAAGGGGGTGTCAGATATTACATTCGTTATCTTGTTCTCTAACAGTTCTTCTTTGTATCTTCTTTTCTTCTATTATTCCTCTGTTTGTCATCATAACCAAGGTATCACTAATGAACTGAACACACACACACAAATCTACAACTGTCGCTATCGAACTAAACATTTCAAAGTAAAGACATATTAAAGATTACAACATTTCATCTGATTATTATTTTTACCTTCAGAAAAAAGTCGGAGTATAAGTTTAAGGCTCATAGATAGATGAGTTGTATTTTAAAAATATTTGAATTGTTTCTCTTGTAGTGTTTATTTTCTAAAGATGAGTATGTTTTTTACTTTAATATTTATTTAAAAATAGCCATAATGATAAATTAAAACTCGTCATGAAGATCACTTTAGATTGATTTCATGTTTTTTTATCAGATAAATCCTGGTTTCGAATGGCACAATATTAAATCGAATCGCCAGCATAAAATGGAAACAAAATATAAATATATCAATATTTATGACGATGAGACTTTTTTCTATTGTTTCAAAAACAAAAAAGTTTTGTATTTTAACATTTTGAATGAATATGTCAGTATCTTAAATCTCGTTTCATTAAAGAAGTTTTAAATATCAACAGGCTAGAAAAATTTAAGTGAAACGTGGACATGTAGTTTCAAAATAGAACTAACAATTTCGAAAGGAGTGATTTAATAAAATAGTGCAGTGATACACAAATGAAAAACGTACAACAACAAATAAAGATCTTATAATTGAGAATAATCGATATATCAAGTCTTTCAGATCTTGTTAATCAATTCACATTACTATTATTAAATTTTTGGATCGCAATAAAAGTAAATCAATAAGTCGAAATATGATTTTTATTGCCTTTTTTGGTAGTAATATTTTATTATTAGATAGTTCTGAAATTTATAGTTTGAAGATCGAATAAAAAAACGATATACTTCTAAGTATACACGAGCTTTTATAAAATGAATGCCATCTGTAAAATAACAAGTTTAATTCTAAGTTTTCACTTAATATAATTTTCTTTTCTATACCTGATTATTTGATAAACTTCAGCTATTAAATAACATGAGCATAAATGAATCGATAGATGGACTGCCCTCTATCATTGTAATATTTCTATTCGCAATTCGTTTGATCGATCGTATTAAATGAATAACTACAGTCAACTACTACTGTTTGTTACTGGCCTTCTCTACTATATAAGCCACGCTTGAGAAAGCAGCAACGTTACTAATATTAGTATAGTTAATATATAGCAAAAAAACATGGTCGAACCGTTTGTACCACGTTTGTGGTGTGCTGTTCTTCCTATTTGTTTCATTTGTTTTCTATATTTATGTTCATTTTTGCTATTTATGTGTGCAACAAATTCTTTAATTTATTCCACAGTTTGTCTTCTTCGAGCTAATGAATCATTTTGTGCTGAAATTGATCAAAACAAATCTCTTAAAATATTAGAAGAATCTATTCAAAAAGAAAGTTCACAATGGGCTCTATATGGAACACTTTCATTTGCAATTATTGCTTCCTTTATTTCACCTATTTATGGAAGTTTATCTGATACAAAAAATCGAAAATTACCTATCATTTTAACAATTTGTAATGCTATACTAACAGGTCTAATAATCACAATTGCAAGTGTTTATCAAGGCACACGATTATGTTTAATATTATATTTAGTAGCTAATATTGTGAATGGATTTGGTGGTGGAGCACTAATTCTTATTGCGTAAGCTAATCTGAGATTAGAATAATATATTGCAAAATTTTGTTTTTTAATGATAGTTCATGTTTTGGTTATGCTACTGATTCATGTACACATAAAGAACAACATATTCAGACTATTGCTATCATTGAAGCATCTTTAAATGTTGGTGTTATAGTTGGCTATGCTTTGTGTGCATTTATTTTTGAATTACATACTCGAATATGGCATGCTTTACTTGTTCATGTTCTTCTGTTGGTTCTAGCACTTTTTATAAGTCTAATTTTTCTTAAAAATCGATCATTATCAGAACCGTCAACAAATGGTATATGCCAAAAAATAGTTCGACCAATATATGATACTTATGATATAATTGTTGGATTAAAACATAATCATTTACTTGCATCATTTCTCATACTTTTATTCTCACTTTTCTTCTATGATCTATTTCGAATGGGTTCAGGCTCTATTGTTTATTTGTATTTACATTATATGACATTTGATGATACACATTATGCAGCTTATTTTTCATTTGAACAATTAGCTACTTGTTTAGCATTGGTATTCTTAGCATTATTAAGACGACGATGGAAGGTTAATGATCTTTATTTAGCTATTATTGGTTTATGTTTATCATTAATTGCACCGATGTTATTTGCGTTTGCTCGAAAAAATAAAGCGATGATTTTTGGAGGTAGAAATAGAAGATAATAAATAGATTAAACATATATTATTTTATTCTTAGCTATTCCATCATCAATGTTCAGTATTTATTTTGCAGTATGTTTACGAACAATAATTGCTCGTTTAGTCCCTGAAAGAGATAAAGGTATATGAAAAGGATTAAATTTTGTTTTGTATGGTTTTTTAATTTTGCAATAAATATTTATTTAGGTAAAGCATTTAGTTTTGTTGCTTTAATACAAAATCTAGATGTTGTGATGGGTACAATTGCTTGTGTGGAAATTTATCAAGCATCGATTGATTTTTTTCCTGGTCTTGTTTTTATTTTTGCTGCTGCTACAAAAATAATTGCATTGATTCTCATTTTGTAATAATATAATTTAATTTAAATATTTTTATTTTTATTATATTTTTCTTTTAGAATACAAGCATTATGTATTAGTCAAACACCCGAATTATCACCAATAATGCCAACTAATGAAACCGAAGAACCAATTTTAGAAACTCAATCTGATGACGATAATAGCAATGATGATGAATTAATTCAACCATAATAGACTGACGAGAGAACTTTTTTAGCTGTTCCCATTCTATTTCAATGAGCTTTTGCCTATAGATACTATATAGTATTCTAATAAAGACTCTAAAATGATTTGGATTTCCGAAAACTCGTAGTTTTGAATTTTGATCTGAAACTTTGTGAATATGGAGAACTCAGCTAGACTAGCTTGCGAAAAAAAAGTAAATCACAAATTTTTAACAAAGCATCTTCGAGATATGAAGCTTTCAAAAAAATTCATGCCGCATACACGACCCATGTAACAGGATCTACATCTTGAAAGTTTCATATCTCGAAGAAACTTTGTTCAAAACTTCTCTTTTTGTTTTATGAGAACTAGCCTAGTTGAGTTCTCTATGTACATATAGTTTCAGACCAAAATTCGAAATAGGAGTTTTTTCAAAACCTGCAGTTTCTAGAACATAGACATATTAGAAATTGCATAGCTTAGTCAAATATCAATAGAAATCCATGTCCTTATAGGGGCTTTTCTAGAACACTATATAGTATTTATAGGCAAAAAAGAAATTAGTGTAATAATCCTACAGTGATAGCTAAAGAGGTTCCCTTGTGAGTATAGTAAAAACTAGAAAACACATATATAAAATCATATGTAATGGTGTTAAAAGATTTATTTTCAAGTCCCTTAAGTTAACAGAAATTATATTTCTAGATAATATGAAATTTATACTAGTAGAACTTTCCCATCTATTTTGTATATTTAATTTTGGTATAAATGCTCTACCGATTATCGTCACTGTAAGTTTTTTCATTGCTACAGAAAACTCATAAAAATCTTCTTTGTTATTTAGACATCTCAGATTAATAATAGTACATTGCATCTCGAACAAAAAGTAGTACTTTCAGAAAATCATAAAGATAAATCAACATCAAATTTCAGTACTCCATTAATAATACCAAACATTGAAATACCAAAAAATTTTAATGTATCACAGATAGCAAAAAATTTAAAAGATTTTGGTATTCATAGTTTAAAAGATGATAACCATATTGAAGGTTTACCATTGGATCGTCATGGACAAGTAAATCCAGATTTTCATAAAGAAATCTTTTTGGGTAATCATGAATTATTTGAATCAGATATTGAACGTGATGGAAAAAAACTACATAGAAAACTAGAAGAAATATTTCGAGAGTAAATGTTTTAAATATATGTGTATATATATATATATATGTTTACTTTTTTTGACCCATTTAGATCAGATTCTAATCATGATGAACGTTTATCAAAAGATGAATTACTTGGTCATGTACTTAAAAATGTTCAACAACATTTAAAAGAAGCTAAAGACAGAAATTCACAATTATTTTTATTGATCGATACAAATCAGGATGGTAAGATTGTGTTAGAAAATTAAAGCTCTCTCTGAAGAAGAGCAAGATTGTAAATGAATTCGATTAAGAAATTTTGTGTGATACAGAATTCGGATAAAGTTGATTTTTCTCTCATTGCATCTAAGCAGTTCGAAATCAATTTTATCATTACAAGGTTAGACGAGTCAAATCACTTTTCGGATTGAATCGAGTCCACTCAAGTATAATGAAGTTATTTTTGCTATTTTTTCGTTTCCTATTTTATTACTTATAAAAAACGTTAACAATAATTTATTCATGATACAATATCTTGTTCCCATTTTTCTATGCATGAAAGCAAAATAAGAACAGGCCGGCATAAAATTAAATGACGAAATTTGTATAGCTTCATCAAGAAAGTAAGGACAATAAAATCAATTCGTCTCTTTAATACACTTTCACGAGACAATAAAAAAGAACATCAAGTTTTATAAACAAAAAAAAAGTTGTTTACAATTAAAGAATATTTATTAACATTTAAATTAATCTTCTTCGATTTCATAGATGTTAAAATGTAAATATTAGCTTGTAAAAATATTGAATAATACGATTACATTAAAAGATCGCTTTGAAAGAACACATGCTCAACTATTGCTCATGCAGCATGGACACACCTGATCGTTTAAACAAACCTATTAAGAGATTGATATGAAGTTCGTTTTTTGTAATTGTAAAGTAAGATCACTAGTTCAAATTTTCTTCCTTCAGAAAACCATCAATTTCGTTTGAAATTAATTTTAGTGTTGAACTATTAACTCTTGTTTTTTTTTAAATGAATAACTCGAGTCAACGTTACCCAACTTTCGAGTCCGAGTAAAGTCAAAGACTTTAAATAAATATGAGTCGGGCTCACACCAGCCCTGTATTATCAAAGATCTTTTAAATACAAAACGAAGTGTATTTGATTTTTCATAAACTCATCCGATATGTATGCTTTAGGTAAAATAATATGGGATGAATATGTTGCATTATATATTAAATTTCACAATGTAAGTACATTGAATGGCACAAATTCCCATGATATTTATTCTATTCTAGAATCAGCTGATCTTCATTGTAAGTTAATCGATTTTTGATCTATGATTGAGTCTATTATGTGTTATTTTTATTCCATTAGTACGACGAGAAATCTATAAAATTCGATTTCGTTGGACACAAGCTGATACTGATGGTGATAGTGCACTTAATATTGATGAATTTCTTGAATTTCGTCATCCTGAAATAGTCGGTCGTGCATATACATATATGGTTGAGGATACTATAGCACAAATGGGTTGGTCTTTGATTTTTTTGAAATTCCTTTTTTTATTAATTTCTGTTTTTAATTATTCTAGATCGTAATGAAGATAAGAAAATAAGCATAGATGAATTTGCATATTTACCTCGTATGTAAAAATACAGCTAATCTCTTACTATGGTATTATTCTTTTCTAGAAGGTGCAATGCAAAATGACAGACAGTCCGAATGGAGAGAAGCGGATAAAGAATGGTTAGAACAACAAAAACAAGAATTTAATGAAATGGATGAAAATAAGGATGGCATTTTGAGTAAAGATGAATTATTGGTACAGATATAATTTCTTTTCATTTACTTGCTTTTTTAAATTTTCTTGATTTTAGCAAGCATATAATCCAATGAATCGTGTGCATATCGATATACAAATCAAAAAACTATTTTCAAAAGTTGACGATTCACCAACAGACAATCTTTTATCCTTAAAAGAACTAAAAAGGCATGCCGATGTTTTTACTAATATGCGTATTTTAGATGCTGACGAAATATTACATGATGAAGTTTAATACTTAAAAAAAACGATTTTTTTTTACCATATATTTATACTTTTCTGATAAGCTAGCATTTTATTTCACTTTGTTTTTGTTTTGTTATTTATTCTTTTCATAGATGAACCAATAGATAAATTAATTTTTACTAAAATAAATTCAAATTATGTTTTAAAAACGAAAATATGATGCAACAAAAAAAGAATAAACTATGATTGTCTATAAATTTTCTTTTTTTTGTTTAAAAAAATGTTTGCGGTCGACTGTTGAGATAAGCTGAAATTTTCGGTTGTCTTTCAACTTCGTGACGATTTTGTTGTAGCCATGGATATCTATTTAAAACATTTCCATCGATTCGAAGAAAATTTTCTGCTGAATCATAAAAATATAAATCGGCCCATGTTAAACGATTACCAACAAAATATGGACCACCATTACCATATAATTTACCCAAAAGTTCAAGATTTTGTAGATTTTTCGGTATATCTTCTGTGAATAGTTTTCGCATACCGTCTTGTTTTTTTGCTTCATCTTTTTCCCGAGAAAGTGCTGCCAATTTTGATGCAACTTCAGTAATTGTATCAACAACCGCATCAACTTTAGCTTGTTCAAAATTATCTCTACCAGCTAATTGAAATTGTTTAGCAAGAAAACGAGCGATAGTAAATGATTGTGGTAACTTTACACCTTCAAATTCAAGAACAGGCATTTGACCTAAAGGCATTTGATTTTTATGTAATGGCCATTCATTTTGTTCATAACGAATGTCCTCAAATTTTTGACCGACAGCAGCAAAAATTAAACGTGACACTTCAGCTCGACCGCGACCATTGAAATAATAAAGTCTGTAAGTTGACATTGTAACTGTTTTGCTATGATTATTAAAGAATAAAAATATGTTATATGTGAACCGCTGAATTTATATGTGAAAGGAGAAACCATAGAAATACTTTTTGCTTCGTCATCATACAAAAAAAATGATCAAAAGACAAGAAAATGTGAAATGTAAAAGAGAAGAACAAATGACATTGCATATTTATTTTCAAGAACATATACATGACAAATAAAGAAAGTGTACATCGTAAATACCATATTTAAATCGTTTATGTAAATAACTGATTCGGGAGAAAAAAATTATGTTTAACAAAGTTAAACTTGCCTTTTTTCACACAAGGTTACTAGTTTATTCTTTATTTATTCAATAAAATCTTCACAAACAAATTAGATATTCAAAGATGATGTTGTTCTTTTTCTGTCGAACGTATGCTTATGTTAATGGTTTTTATTTTAACATATTTTTAAATGAATAGAAACGATTATGAAATAAATGAATTCTGATAATACTTATATTAGATAATTTACCCTACGGCAAAAACTGATGGTTACATATATCACAATCCATATACCCGAATCGGTTGAATTAATTTTACACCAATACATTGATTGCTTGATCACTTGAGATTTTATGCATTTATGTATCTACATAAGTCAAGTTGTATATGCATAACTATAGTTAAATAAGAACAATTACATAATTCTTTTTTATAGTATTTTTTTTGTGTAGTGAAAGAAACTAATTGAGTACATTAAACAAGGTTATTTGATTTAATCAATTCTTTTTTTTTAGTTTTTTTTTTGCATCATCACTATTTATTCGCTCTCTATACAATTACTATGATAGACGATGACAACAAAATGATCAGATAGGCATCGGTCAACGAATGTCTCGGTCCTCCCACATTTACTTTCGAGACGATAGTGAAATACATCTCATATGAATTATGAATGTCTTCTTCTTTGTCTCCGCCTTCTAATTTTTCTTCATCTAATAGGATCAAACGTTAATCAAACAAATGAAAGAGGAGTAGTATAAATACAACTATAATATCTGTTCGATATATATATATATATATGCATATCTTCTCTGATTATAGTCTATTGTATTTTGTAAATCGATAGACTTTATTTCAAGTATAGAACGTCAATCGTTTAAATTTATTGAAAGAAGAACAAAAAAGAAAAAAAGAAATGTTTTTTTCCTGCGGTATTTTAAAATCTAATCGAATGTTTTGATAATAGCTCATTTAATTCACTTATTGAAAAGTGTTTTAATTTGCCACTCAACTTTCATGTATTGCCATTGTTGATTGTAAGAAAACGCGTATGTCTCTTCTAAATTAATTGTCCTTCTATGTCGCTTTCGTTTATCCTTACATGCGTATGTAGAGATATGTTGTCAAGTGAATGAGCAATTGCATTTAGCTTGTTCTTTTTTCTTTTTTCATTGATCGGATAACTTAGATATATGTCTCTGTGTATCATTCGTCTTTATACTTACTATCTGATATATATATTATTAAGCCGTTGTCATATATTCATTCATTCATTCTTTTTCTTCGTCTACCGATGTTCATCGATCGATTTCTCATCGATAAAAAGTAAAAAGAAAAAAAGTTTGTCATCTCCGCTATCGTCTTGTTAAAAAAAAAACATCAAGAATATAAATGTATGTATGCCTGTTCAGTAAGTAAAGTAAGAGTCGTCCGTCGATATGGATGAACGTCGTCACGGGGTCGAATGGCCAGAACAACAATCTCAACATAGACAATTGTTCGTGAAGAAGAATAAGAGTGATATTAAACAAGAAAAAAGAATGTCAAAAACTGAAAGTCGTTTCAAATCTAAACTTGGTAAGTTTAATTAATTAATATTTAATATAAGAAAAAAAAACGAATTTTATTTATATATATAAATAGAATCTTTAAAAAAATTTCAACATTCAGCATCAACTAATAGTGCAGTTGAAAAAGCACGAGCATTTTTTCGCTCTTTAGAACTGAAACATATTGGTGGTAGTAGCAGTAGTGATCATTCATCATCATCATCTCGTCGACGTACTACTACTACTACTGCGACTAATAATAAGAATAATAATAATAATGCTAGTTTACTTTCTTCTTCAACATTTCCTCTGCCTTCTTCAATTTCTTCCTCAAGTTCATCATCAATTATTGATGATACTCATAATACAATATCAACAACGACAACAAATGATTCATCGTTTAAGTCAAAAAATCCTGCGAATGGTATTGCAAAAGCAAGAATTATTCGAGTTATTAATCCAAATTATATAAATCCAAAAGATACGATTGTTCATCGAATGCTACATAACGAACACGATAATCATCAATTTGCATCATCTTATTTTTATTCTCCACAAATATTACCTCAAAAAAATATTCAACCATCTAAACAATATTATAATGAACGAAATCAAAGTTATTTAACCTCGTTTGAAAAACATCGAGAAATGCAAGCAAAATACGGTATGACATATTCAATTTCTCGACAGAAAAAGTAAATTTAGTAGAATGAATAAAAAGCGTGACATGATAACATTCAATATATTTCAATGTTCGAAAAGCTATAATTTATTTTTATCAATGGCTTCATTATCAATCAACTCATAAGCGTGTCATAGCTCTAAAATTCATATAAGTTTTTGAATTAATAAAAAACAAAAATTTCGATCTCTTTAATGGTTAGTAATGACTAATGCTCATTCGACACAAATAGACGATCTATTAGACACGAAAAGGATCAGTTTTATTATTTTCTCTCCAAAATCTAATAAACGAAAAGAAAAATGTTGGTCTTGATCAAAGAACACAGATTCTGTCAGCTTAATACTTGAAATATGTCTTTCTATTACTGTCTATAAGTTTGATATACATTGATAATAAACTGTGACCGATTGAGTTGCTGATAACCTTTTTTCTTGATACTCAATTTGAGATAAACAAGATACATGATTTTATCTTCTGTCCGAGTCGAAGGCTTTTTTTTTCTTAGTCTCATCGAAAAATGAAATCACTTTGTTCATGTCTAGAAATCATTCTATCATGCTTGGCATTTTCATTCTATACCGTTATTATGACTTTTTCTACAAAATCAGTAACTTATTAAAGTTTTTCTTCATTGTTTTAGATTCACGTCCATTGTCGCCTGAATGTGCTCTAAACGCTAATATAAGACATTCAAATGATATTTATCCAAATTATCCATCATTTATTCATTCAAATATAAACAATGGAAATATCTTAAATAATCCATTGTCAACTTCTTTATATAATTATCGACCATTAGTTTGTCGTCAAATGGAACCTTCATCATTAATGTCATCATCATTTCATGAACAATCTCATAGTTTATTTGACCCAATAATTCGACCGTTACCATCATCAGCTTCATCATCATCAATGTCAATATGGACTCAAAGTGTTCGTCGTCTTAATACAGAATATACATCAACAATAAATGCTCTTCAACAAGCTAAAGAATCTTTAAAACAATTTTATCCCAATACACCAGATAAAATATCACAATATGCTAATTTAGTAGCACGTGGAATAAATGATCTATCCAATAATGAAATAAAACAAACATCAGGTATTGCTATTTGTTTAACAGCACCTATATCTCAAGATTCTTGTTTATCATCATCACAAATACGAAAAATTTCAATTCAACAAGATAAAATTTCTCCATCAACAATATTCTGTAAACCTAAATTAGTTCGACCTGTTGAGTTAGATACATTTATTCCATCAATACCTCAATTACCTAAATTAGAATCAATTTCAATTGTTAATGAAAAAAATGAAAAACCAGATTCAATAGCTAATATTATTAAAAAATTTAATAATCTCAATAATTCATCATCAATATTAAAATCTTCAATTAATAAAGATAATAATAATGATTTATTATTATCTGAAATTAAAAAAGAACAACAAGAATGTTTACCAAAAAGTATTCTTCATGATTTAATTCAATCGAAGAAAGATCAATCAAATATTTCTTCATTATTATCAAAAACTAATATAAATACAACTTCATCTCCTCATGTTCAGTTTGAACCTTCAATAATTACATACGAATTAGATGATATACCTTATCAGTCTTCACCATCATCATCAGGATCTTCATCATCAGTTTCACAAGATTCAACTAGGAGTACAACAACAACATCATCATCAAATAATGAACACAATCCATTGGATAATAATACTCCAGAAGAAACAACATATACTGTTGAAACATTTTATAAAGCAACAGATAATTTATCATTAAATAATCAAGAACTTGTTGTTATTCGAGAAAATACAACAGAAGAGCAATTTAATTTAGCACAAGAAAAACAACATCAAGATAAATATATAAATCATCAAATTCCACCACAAAATACATTTAGAATTAATGAAACAAAAGTTTCACCACTAATTACACCATTACGTACATATCGTAACGTAACAATTAAACAAACAACACCAATGTCATCCGTTACAGAAACACAAGACAAGATATATGAAAAGTAAGTATTTCAATAGTCTTTTTTTTTCCTTCTATTCCGACATATACTTTTAAATAATGGCCACGTGAATATGTCAGACTACTCCTTTACACATTTCTTATATTTTTTTTCTCTTTCTTCTGCCTTTGTTATAGTTATCATTCAGTTAAACCATTATCACACATTATAAATGACTTTATCTCCGACAGTCATCATGATAAAGACAATCCAACAACGAATGACATCGTTACTATCAATCCTCATACATATTCACCATCATCTTATTGTTTAGTTAGTAGTTCATCATCATCATCATCAAGTAGTACAACATCATCATCAAGTAATACAGTATCATCAGCTTCAACTGTTCTTCTCAGTAGTAGTAGTAAGATTACTCCTCTTCCAGCTTCTTCAAGCGTAATAAAAACACCTACTAGCACTAACAATAATCTTACAAAAGTTAATAATAAACCTATTTCACAACTTCCTAAACGTACAACAACATCAACAACAATAACGACTCCGAACGTCTCTCGTTTAAAACCACCATCAAAAATTGTTCCATCTACAAGCAAATTAAGACCACCGTCATCAACAATCACAAAACCAATAAAATCAATGATTGTCAATAGTACATCTGCACCAACAACAACGATCAATACATCATCAATGCGAAAATCGACAGGAATAACCAATCAATCATCTTCGATGGCGAATAATATTGTCAATAAAACTACTCAAGAACAGGTAAGAACACATATACATATGTATATAAATAAGTAAGAAGGCAATACTTAAAACGAAGGAACAAATATACTATTTCGTTCATATCTTGCCTACTTTTCTATTTCTTTTTCAGTCGTCATCATCAACATTAGTTACTGGAAAAAAACAACAATTAGTCAACGGAACTAATATGACTGAATCACAAAATTCTGCAGGTATTTTTTTATACTATTCATATTAAATTATTCACATTCATCTTTCACTCTTTTCATAACTGCTTTTATAATAAGAAGAATGAAAGAAAAGAAAAGAAAAAAAAAAGAATGCAGTTTTTTAAGATAAAAGTGAATTGCATATGTTCGCGCGCGCACACATATACTTTTTCATTTACAATGATGAATCTAAATTCTGATTCCATTCAATTAGATTCATCATTTTCGATCGGTAAAAATCGTGTAAGATCAATGGTTAATCAACTTAATGCTGCTGTATCATCATCTCGTCCAACTATTCCATCGGCAACTTCTGCTAAACGTACATCAATTCCATCATCATCGGTCAACGCTCGTCGTCCAGTCTCTTTGGAACCAATAACTAATTCAACAATATCAACTAATAAAACTGCGATAACACCACTAAGTCGTCCATCACTTCAACGAGCAATGACAATTAATAATACTCCCATAATACCATCGCCACCATCAATACCCCCAACAACGAATAATAATATTTCATCGACTTACAAACGAAAGTAATCAAATATTGATTTTTCAAGAAAGGAAGAAAGAAAAAAAAATCACATATTTCTTTTGATTTTATTTTAGAACTCCACTTATTCGTTCAACATCAAATGTAAAAGAAGGTCTTCTTCGTTGGTGTCAAGCACAAGTTGCCGGTTATTCTGTAAGTCATTAATTGTTTTTTTTTCAAATCATTTTTTCTTTATTTTTAAATTAAATTAGAATGTATCAGTAACTAATCTTTCATCATCATGGTCAGATGGACTTGCTTTTTGTGCTCTAACACATCATTTTTTTCCTGATGCATTTGATTTTAATAGTTTATCACCTGCAAATCGTAAAGAAAATTTTGAGCTTGCTTTTCATATTGCCGAAGAACGTGCCGGTGTACCACAATTACTTGATGTTTCGGATATGCTTCTTATGGGCAATACACCTGATTATAAATGTATATTCACTTATCTTAATTCATTTTTGGCTAAAGTTAAAGACATTCATCCAACAACTAACCATGTTGAACATCATTAAACTAATTTCTTCTTTTTTCTGTTCTCTTCTATCTTTGTTTTCTTTTTTTTTTTTCATTTATATGATGCAAAGCAACATGTGTATATCTCGGGTAGAACGATAGAGTTTATTGTACAAAACGAAAAAAAACGAAAACGAACACTTTTACCATCATTTTTTTTGTATCACGTATTATAATAATATGTATTAAATGAAGCCTTTGGTGTTTTATTGAAAAACAAAATTTAAGAATAATTAGCAAAAGAAAAAATTGTAAGCTATCACACAGATAAATGTATATTCACTCAATACCAATGGGTACAGATAAACGAATATTAGGAGTTGTTGCACCTTTCATTTGGGCTGTCATACGAAATTCATAAGTTATAGCAATAGATGGAATATTATCAGGTTGACCATTTTGATTAGGCACATATGTTGGAAATAAATTAGCCGGTAAAACTAATTCACATTTTGCGTTAACTTCATTTTCTTTCGTATTTTCAGCTATTTCATTAAGTACAGCTGTAAATATTTCATTTTCACGTTTTATGCCATTTAATGAAACAGTTTGCATTAATTGAGCTGTTACAGCTTTGATTTGTTTTTGTTTAGGATTTGTTATTGCTACTGATATAGGTACTATTGGACAATCACGACCGGAATAAAATGATCTTTGTAAACCGCATATCATTGTTACATCATTTGGACCTAAATATAGACTATACTATTATTAACACTGATAAAAAGAAAAAAGAACATTTATAAGTAGGTCGTTTAAAGAGTCTAAAATAATCTTTTAGTCAGCGTATGAGTCATTGCATTTATCAAGTTCGAATACAAAAGATGTCAGGCCCAACAAACTCTAGTGTGTCATTAGACTGATATATCCATTAGTTTATGTTTATGATCCTGTCTGTTATGTGTTTACCATCAACTTCCTACTTCAAAATCTAGAATATTGATGAAATGATATTTGATGTTATTCTAAATATTATTTTACAACTCTAAAACGATATGTAAATATTCTCTCATTAGTTTTACCTGTTACTTTACATGGTAAAGGTACACTCATTTGAGGTGCTGGTGGTGCTAATGTAATTTGTTTATGTGTATTTGGTAATAAACGTCCGTCATGATAAATTTCCAAATAATAAATAATAGAAAACTCTTTAAATGCACATGATGGTGGTAAATTACTTCCAAGTGGTATACGAAATGGATAAGTAACTTCTTGTTGTTTTATTGTTCGAGCTGTACCATTGTCATGTGATGTTATTAATTGACATGAATATGTTAAAAAAATATTATCATTATTATTTAATTGTGATGAATTTTTTTTTGAACGTGATGCATATTTTTTATTTTCATTTAATTGACCAATTAAATCAATACGGATTTCTTTTTCAATACGTAATTTTTTTCGAACATTCAAATGAAATTCACCTTGAATTGTCGATAGACTACGATAAAAATCATTTGGTGACGAAAGTGTTAAATTATATTCAGCATTCGTTAATGAAGATTTTGTTGAATTAAGACCCATCTAGAAAACAAAACCAAACAAAAAAACAAAGCAATAATGTTTACGCATGATATATTTTTTTAGCCTTAATCATCGCCTGTCATTTTTATACGGTTCATCACACATCCAATGACACAGTGTTAGACCAGTAAACATTTGACAGGTTCATATTTATTAAATTAATTAAACAATCTTTAATTCAACTTTTCAATTTCAAAATAAAATAAAAACTTACTTGCAAGTTGATAATTAAACTTGAAGGCTGACTTCTTTTTTTTTTAATAAAAGAATATAAAAATAATATGACACTTACGCTTTCTCTTTTTCTATTTTACTATGTATGGCGTTTTTTGAATACATTTACACAAAAGAAAATTAAGAACCTTTTTTTTCCTCAGCATCATTACATAGATGAACTTTATGACTGCATTCATTTGACTCTTGATATTTTCTCTCACTGAATATAAACATAACTAAAAATAAAAAGTTTTACGTTTCATCATGAGAGTCCTCTTCCAAATCTTCTTCATCGTTCTCATCATCATCATCATCTTCATTACTTTCTTCATTTTGATCATCGTCATCGTCATCATCATCATTATCATCATCATCTTCTTCTTCTTCATCATGGTCCTCATCTTCTTCTAACTGTTGACTTTCATCATCATCATCTGCTGTTGCATTTTGTTCTAGAAATAATAAAATAAAAGCAAAACAACAACAAAAACAGATAGAGAATGTAACTAGTCTTGTTAATAAATTGTTATTTTATAGGAAATTTCATTAAAAAAATGAATTACTAAATTAATTTTAAAATTTCTATCGTACCTCGTTCACGTTGATATTGTCGATAAAGTTGTTCATGAGCGGCTGACATCATTTCTCGAGCACGATTTTGATAATCACTAACACACCAACCATCAGCTTCGGTGCATTCAAGCTCCTATAAAATAACCAGACATGTCAAATAAAAAGTTGTTTTCATATGAAAAAGTCAGAAATTATATAATAAACATTCCGGTAACAATTTGCATATGGTTTATTTTCACAGCACAATTCTTAAAAATAACACTCATATTATATATAACAAAGATCATATTAAAACAAATACAAACAAGAACTCATCTTAATTACATTTTTACACGTGAATGATTCATTTCACTTTCAAAAATATAAAGCTTTATGTGGTCTAAAAAACATAATTATATTCACAGCATGATTTGGTTTTTTTTTCTGTTGTTATCTCTAATGAATTTCATAAAGCTCCAATGAAAAATATAGAATGAAAAGATATTCATAGATTATTTATTTCAATTATCTTATATATGATTATTTATTATCAGATCAGTCGATCTTCTGAAATTCTAACATCGATGAAGAATGAAATGAAAATAATTTGTTATAAATACATCTGTAGATCGTTTAGTCTCATTTCTAACATGAATAATGTCGCTTATAATTTGATTGGACTATTGCATTAAGAGGAAAACATCTTGAAGAATAATGAGTATGTATTCATAGTTGAATTCATACTTAACTATTGAATTTCCTTCCGCTAGGAATATTAGAATTTGAGAAAAGATGAATTGATCTATGTTTCATAGTCATTCCAAATAAGATATTTTTTTCGCTTCTTTTTTTGTTCAAAATGACAAATGAATTGATATTATATCTTACCGAAATTGTATTGATTTATTTGACGTCGTAAAATACAGATTATTATCGCTTAATGTAAACTAACTTTTTGAAAAATATATCTAATCTTTTTTTTTAATATTTTCAATCATTTTTCTTCTATGCATATAAATCATTTTCTTGACATATACGTACTTCTTTCTTTCAATTCTCTTATCGAAAATCGACAGGTGTGTTTATCAATAGCAGAAAGAAAAACACGCCTGTCAAGAAACAAACTTTTCATCATTTTTTACTTTAATATGAAAGAAAAAAAAAAAAGAAAAGAGAAATATTCTTCTTTTCTTTACTTGGCTGTCATTTGAATGAACCATTTGCTGTACTTCATCAAGTTGTATATCAATCAGTTGATAATGAATCGAACGTGCTAATGGTAAACTTGTTCTTTTAAACATGTACATTTCTTCCTATATATATTGCATATATATATATACTCAATGCTAATGAACGTTTTAAAACTTACTGCATAATTTTTAGTATTTGATGCTGAAATTGTAGTTGCTGTTGTAGAGATTTGTCCAGGTATTAATCTTTAAAAACAAAAAAAGATGAAAAGTTATTGAGTTTAGAAATAAATAAAATAACAGACGATGATCGATGATAAGCTCTTGATGTTCTCGATTTAACAAGATTTTTTTCCGGATCAAGAACAGCACGTACACGATAATCAACAATTTGATAAATTTTTGATTTTGTATCTGAACGTGGATCATAACCATATTTAAGCCAACAACGATTCCATGGACCATTACAAAAAAAATATGCGACATGATGAATAATACGTTTTAAAATAACTTCGGTTATTTTAAGATGATACAATAAACTATTCCGTGTCCATACTGGACGTTGTTCAAATAAACGACGTAATTGTGTTATTATTGATTGATCAACATTTGTATAAAGATCATTGGAAGATTTTGGACCTAAGATAAATTCAATATATTTCTATAAGTTGTGTGCAATAATCGCAACTAGAGATGTGTGAAACCAAAAAAAATAAAACTTTAGCGAGATCGAAACTCAAGTTCATAGAAAAAATATTGTATGCCTTTCAGCAAATTATCTTATAAATTATATGAATCAGAATATTATTCAAAAGAAATAATCCAAAAAAAGTACTTTTTGTCGACTAAATAAATAAAAAAAACGAATATTAAAGAACTATTTTAAATGTTATACAAATAGAATCTTAAATAGTTTTGTCAAGATCGGAATCGGAATAAAAAAAAAAAAAAGCTTTGTAACGCACACCTCTAATCATGAGGGTATCCTGAAAATTGTGACGAAACGAGGTAATAATGATTGGAGTTGTATAGGAAAAACTGATAATCTGAATCCTTTTTATTCCTAATCGGGTATATCAAATATATGTAATGAAAACTTATAATTTTTTTATTTTTAATAAGGATCTTAAAATATTCAAATAAATAGCAGATTTCTTGAAAATTGTTTTTTAATTATCGTCGTCAACAATTCTCGTTCTTTGACAGTTTAGACAGATTGTTCCATTTAATTAACGTATTATCCACATCAACAAGTGCATTGGCTTGAATGAGAATGTGCTTAAACTACAACCCACATCGTAAATGACTATCTTTTTTTTGCATATTTCGCCTATTAATAGATAGATTTTCTCGAATGTTCGAATATTTTCTCTAATAATTAGTAAATTATAAGTTTTATTGACACACGGATGTGTTCTTCAGTCATTATGGACTTGCCAATCTATCAGAAAATGTCTAATTTATCTAAAAGTTATTTTATGAGTAGATTTTTCTTTAATGAGAGTGATATAGAAAAGTCATTTCTGTGACAAAATAATAGATTTATGTATGTTTTGATCACAATAAAAGGCAAATGCGATTTTGAACATGAAAAAAGTTCGTTTCGTAGGATATAAATATTTACCTGTTGGTACTTTCGTAGCATCAAATCCAATATGATGTGCTGATGATGAACGAACATTTCTTTTTGTTAATTTATTACTATTAACAGCTTGTTTTGTACGTGTAATTGTTGTTGCTGCTCGTTTTGGTCTTGCTTTTGGTTCTGGTCGAAATGCATAATCAGTTGGATCAAAAAATCGTGAAAATATAGCTGGAATACACATTAATGGACATGGTCGTTCTAAATTTTCTTTATCTAAACATTGTCGATTTAATGCAAGACGATTTAAAAATGATTCATATTGATCATTTTTTTTAACCATTGGTAAATATTGAAAATCAGCAAGTGATTCAAATGAATAAGATGTATCAAGAACACCAATAACATGTACTGATGTAACAGTTTTTGTCCGTTTATTTCGACGTAAACGAATAAGAAGTCCAGTAGATTTATGACGATCAGCACGAAGTGGTCGTTCATAGATATTTGATGGTGTAAATGAACATGTTAATTGTGATGTTGTTGAATGTGTAAATGCATCTACAAGACGTTGCCGTCCACCAAGTGTTTCAATAGCACGATCACAATTAACAACATTGCATGGGTGTTGAACTGTATAAATCAATTGAAGAGATTCAATTGGGATTGATGATGTTGTTGACATATTATATCTACAAAAAATTTTTTACATAGATAAAAAAAAGAGGAAACAATTTATATATCAATCAATCAAGTGAACCAAATACGAAAGAAAAACAGTTGCACGTTTATACAGCAAAAAAGAATGTGTACAGAAAAAAAAACTCAACATCTAATTTCACATTTTGAAATTTGATTGGAATGGAAAATTGATGAAGTAGATACGTATTGAGATTGCAAATAGACTAAGGAAATATAAAAAGAAAAGCATTTATTTTTCTTAAACGACAAAGTCAATTAATAAAGAAATATATCATATCATTTGCAATTCTAATTCTCTATAGAAACATTAAAAAAACCAACATTTAATGAGATATGTTAATAATTTCATACTATCAAACAAAAAAAAGCAATTCTAATGTTGAATTTTAAAATCTTATGTAATGATCGTTCATAAAAACATTTAAATAGACAAAATCAAATGTATCGGAACAAGTACGTCCTACAATGTTTATTCATACAAAATTTGCTATTCTGTCAGAAGTATTCTTACAAGGAAAAACAAAAAAAGTTATACTCTAACATCATTATTTATACATTCTTTAATATGAAAAGTCAGCAGCTTCACGGAATACACTTCAAATTCTTCTCATACACACTTTCGTATAGTTGAATTTCTTATTAATATCGGTCTATTTATCATTTCTAATAAGAGAAAAAATATTTTTTATTATTTTACAACTGTTAATTAATAAAATTCTTTTTTTTAATTGATACTTACTATTGAGAATATAAATTCATTCTACAGATCCAACAAGCTTTTCTAATCCAGGACATCGACATACATCACATCTTCTAAAAGCTACATCCCATGGCCATGATTCCCAATTATCATATAAAAGATGATTGATATCATTAACTTCATATGGTTCATAATTTCTTTTCTTTAAAAAATTTAACATATCTTCAATATTTTTAATCATTCCACGATGATATTTAATTTCAATTAATTTTCCAAATTCCATATAAATAGCTGGAATTTCAGTACGATTAAATAATAGTGATGCATTTCCAAATGCTAATGCTTCAAATCCTTCAATATCAATTTTTAAAATAGCTCGTTTAAAAAATATTGGAAATATTGAAACTAAATCATCAAGTGTTATTGTATCAACTTCTGCAAATACTCGAGGTGGAATACCACGTTCATTAACAAGATTTTCAATTTTTTTTTCTGATGGTGCTAATTCATCAAGATAAGATAAATAAGAAGCACCTAAATTTCTATCAACAACATTTAATGATAAACGTTCATGTTTTATTCCAATAGCATTGGCAACAACTGTTACATGATGTTGAACATCATTTAATTGAATTGATTTATGTAAACGAATAAGAGAATCATATAAAGGTTCAACAGCAATAACATGACGATCATATTGAGTAGCTAATAAAGTATATAAACCTAAATTAGCACCAATATCAATAACATCTAAATAAAATCTATGATGAGAATTTGATTCATTTTTTTCAAAATTTATTTTCTTACGTGTATTTGGTAATGTTCGTAATAAACGAAGAAAACTTCTGACAACAACTGGTTCCCATTTTCCATGATCATTTAATTGTCCACTAACATGTTCATCATGTTGTGGATCATAAATACATATTCGAACATCATGAATATCTGCTTCATTATATTTTGTTTTTGGACATTGAAAATCCCATTCATTATCTTGTGTTACATCATAAAGCGTTATTATTCCTCCATTGGAATTTTCATGTTGATATATTTGAGATTGACGAATATTTATTGTACGATTAAATTCAGTTGATAAAAGATGAAATTGTCCAAAAACAAGACGAGGAAAAAGACGATTTTTATTTGAAACTAATAGATAGACAAGAAAAAAAATAAACATAACAATACAATAACGTTTCAATAATTTCATGATTTCATCAATAAGCAGTGAAGATGAACGAAGATTGCGATGATATTTTAGAAACATTGAATCATTTCATATAGATTTCTAAATAGATATTTGTTACGTATCCAATTAAATGACTCATATTCGAAGCTGGTAGTCAGCGTCCGATCCATTCTCGTTCGTTCTTGTCTCTCCGTCACATTCATACATTCACATTCGATACGATACAAAGGACACACAACAAATCAGAATATGACTTGGACAGATGTCTCTACTTGAGTAATACTCTTCAACACCAAAAAGAAAAGCGCCCCGCCGAGCAAGATGTATCAATAGTTTTCTCGCATTTGAATGGATGTTTTTTGTTATCATATATTGATCACAGTAAGACGAGGGAAAATCTAACATGGCTTATATCGATGTCATATTTGTATTGAACTCGATTTATACGCATAGAGTAGAAATAGAAAATATTTTCAATGGATTTATATTTATTTCTGAAAGAATATTCCCGAAGGTAACTAATAAATAGTTACAAAAGAAATAATCTCATTCTATTTTTTCTTGTTTCAAAATGAACATTGCTATTTTTATCATCAACACATTGTGATGAATTAAGAATTTTGAATAGAAAACTCATAACATCATCATCAACATCACATAGTTTCTGTTCATCGTACGAATATCATACAAACGATTGAACAAAAATTTTGTGAAACACAAAAGCCGATTATCAACGAAATAAAAAGTTTATGGTCATGAAGAATAATCATATTATGCCATGAAGATAAATCTTTGAAAGTTCAATTTAAATTATCATAAAAAATCCGACAGTTAAATACAAACAAATAAAAGATTAGATTGTGATAAATATTTTCAAATTAACAATTTTGATCTATATGTTATCAATCAATAAATAGAATAGATACCCTTGTCATTGTGTTAAATGTCAAACTTGTCAATAAATATCAGACGACAAAATAAAATAGAAATGACATTTTTGTGATTTATATACACAATGTGTCCAACATTATCTCATAAAGATCAATGATAAAATTCCTTAAATAACATGTTTATCGAAATAATCTTTAATAAGACACATAAAAATTCCTTATTTGGTTTTTTTTTTTGAGACATTTTAATATATATTCGTGAACGTATCTTATTATAAATATAAAGAAGAGAAGAAAAAAAAAACACACCAATACAAAAGAAAAAAAACCATTAACAAAAAAAAAAAAACAGAAAAAAAAACGTTCATTACATATAGTACAAATATAACGGAATGATTTTAAAGACTTATTTCTTATACACTGTATCAACTTTCTCCAGCAAAAGTATTTCCTTCAGCACCTGTAATAATAACATCAACCCACATACGCATTGATTCAGCTGTTGGTGCAACTAAATAATAAGGTCTTTCAATTGTTTTAACAATAAATGTTGCTTCACGTGGTTCAGGTGATCTTAATGATATTGATTGTAAATGATCAACATAAACTTCAACGATTGATTGAAAATAAATACAACCACGTAATTTTGTTTCTGTTTTATCTTGATAATAAAATAATGAACGACGTTTACGATCAAATACAAACCAACGACGATTCCATGTTTTAAATTTCATTCCACCCATTTTAAGAAGAAAACCACGACATGATGTTGATGTTATATGAATATGTGGAGAATCTAATAAATGACCAGCACCTTCAATATGGGCACGAAGATCAAAATCAAGTGAACGTATTGGTAAATAACGTGTTAATGGACGTTCCTATTTTAGTTTAGCATTTAACAAAGAATAAATTAATTCGAAAACAGATTAAAAACATACCTGCATTCGATTTTTTTCGCGTAGTTTAACTTGACATTGAATAAGATATTCACGATTTTGAATTTCACTTGCTAATCTTTGTTCTAATTCAACACGTTTTGCATGTTCATCATGACATTGAAGAAGTTCATTATAACGTTCACGTAACTGAAATAGTCATTAGAAATAAAATTTAACGGAAGAATGTTTTCAAATGATAAAAAATTTTGCTCAAAAATGTTGAATATGTAGACTAGAAAAAGTTTCAGAAGATACAAATATTAATTACAATTTGGTTAAACTATCATGTATTCAGAATGATTTTGGTAACTAACTTCAATAAAATTAATCTTTTGAATTAAAACCTTTTTCAACTAAATTAATATCTCAAAAGAAAGTCTATCGAAAAGTTCTGAAATTTAGACAACAAAGAAAGTGACAAATCATGTTTTATTCCAATTTTCACTTTCGTACTAGCGATTTAAAATACCGGAAAAACCAAGTGAATCATCTGAAGGGCTCCAGTCCTTCGATAGAGCTCGTCGAATTCAGATCCAAAAATTTTCGATCCCACGGGCTCTACTCTTCGTCCATCACCCATCAACATTAAAAAATAGAAAACGGTGAGTATAGCAAAAATGTTTATGCTAAAAATTCGATATCCTAATCAAATTATAACTTGTCAACTTATCGTTTCAAATATTTTCTAGTGTAGATATCTTTGATTCATGATCAAAATTATTTTATTTGAAAATGCTTCATTATAAGATTTTCTTACTTGTTGTTCGAGTACAGTCATTTTTTCAAGTTTAGCAACAGCAATCATTTCTTTGATTTCATTCAATTTTTCTTGTTCCTTGTCTTTTATGTTCATTCTAATATTGAATAAAAAAACATTTTCAATTTCATAATTTAAATGAAAAACAAAATCTACTTCGGTGATGAAATACGATTTGGATAGTTTATTGGACTATAAAGATTTGATGGAGTTGAATGATAAACTGTCGTATTACCATTGAACCAAACACCTAAAATGATAAAAAAAGTTATTTTTTATTATTGTGTTTAGAAAAAGATTTTTACTATGTATTGGTTGTTGATGATGACCATTTCCATAAGAATTTTCTTGTTTTGATGATATTTTGTTAATTTTTTGTTCTAATTCATTGGCTTCGAGTTTTTTTTGTTTAAATAATAATTTAAGTTTTTGTTTTTCTTTTTCAAGTTTTTCTTTTTCTACAATAACTTGATGTAAAATAATATTTTGTTGACGATCAAGATCTTGTAAAGTATTCTATTAATAATAATGAAATATTTTCGATTTAAAAACAACAATAGAATATTTTGTGTTTTTTTTTTACTTGTCGAATAGTTGTATTTTGTTCAACAGTAATTTGTTCATTTTGAAAATGTTCTTCAGCTTGTTCAAGTTCAGCTTCACAACGTGTTTCTAACTCCATTAATTGAAATTCGAGATCTTCATGTTTTTTACGTGTCTCAGCAATAATTTCTTTCTTTCTAGACAGCATAATCATTGATTAAATAGAACATAAAAGAAAGATTAGTAAACTCACTTGAGAATTTTATCATCAGACGGTCGATATTGTTCTTCGAGTTCACGTAATTCATGTTCAAGTTTAAAAAGTGTTTGTTGAGTATAATCAATTTCATTTCGAATCTAAGATAACAAATAAAAACAAGAAAAATTTAATATTTTTAAAATGAAATTTCATTTGATTATTTTTGTTTTACAGATTTTTTTTCTGCCATTATTCGGTCAATTAATAATTGTAAATCATTATATAAGTGTCGAATTTTTTGTTGATCACTTTCACTTGCATTTAAAATTTGTTTAAACACTAATTCATGTTCACTTTCAACTAAAGCACTTTCAATTTCAAGCTAAAAATAACAGGTGAATGCATACACAATACAAGATTATTTTGATTTTGTTTCATGAAAGAAAAGAAAAAAAAAGAAGAAAAAGAATTCATTGACACACTCTTTTTTTTCGTTCACATCTGGTAACAAGCTGTCTATTCTCATATCAACACGCGATCAATAAATTAAATGAGATAATATAGAATCAAGAAAAAACCCAACTTGTCTATGTCTATCGGTCTAGAAAGGAAATAATCGTTTGCTAGTAATAGCCTTATTTCGCGTTTGATGATGAGAAAAAAAACAACTGTGTGACAAACTATTAAGATGAACTTCTTTTTAAAAGACTATTTGAAATCTTTTCATTTCATTTACGAATAAGTAAAAAAAAATTGCTCAATAAACGGATAAGAACGTTTTTATATACAGTTTCATTCGAACTCATTGTCGCCTTTATCATTGTCGTAATCAATGTATCTCAATACACTTTGATCAAAAAAAAAAGACTTATCTCTATAGTTCAATATACATTTAAATAAACGAAAGTCAAATGTTAGAGAAAGATGAATACGATTAAACTTAATCGAATAGAATAGTTGTCACAATCGATTGTTTGTATCGATTTTTTCCACTGATGCACATCTAAAGATAGTAGCTACATTAGATTATTATAGAAAGAAGAAGAAAAAAATGGATAACAACAGTCATCGACATCATTGCTCATATCATCAGTGAATGTAACAACAATATAAAGCAGACAGACAGGAGCACCGTTCATCATTATTTTTCTCTCTCTCTCTCTTATTGTGTATGCATTAATGTTCAACCTATCAATAATACTCTTATACATATGCAAAAAGACGTAATCATTTTTCTTCCTCGTTCTTCGACTTGTGTAGAAACAACTTGTCGTCATATGATGATTAGGTTTCCTTTAGATGAATTGTAGACAAGAAAAGAGAAGAAGATTGAGAAACAGATGGTCCAAAAGAATAAAACAAAAACGTACGTGAAACTTTCAAACAATGATTTCTTTTTTATGTATAAATATGCAAGATTTTTCTTTTTCTCTGAAAAGACAAACATGGATATGCAATAGATTGAGAGTGATTTAGCCTAAGGAGGTAATTAAGCAACAAAAAAAAAGAAACACAAAGAAAAGATCAGTTTGTTATGCATAAAAGAAATTTATTGACAGTTGTTTGTATGATCTTACCTCTCGCATGGCTTCACTAAGACGACTTTCAATATCAACAATATTCTTTTTGATAATAGTCAAATCTGCCAATGTTTTTTGATAGTTACTTTGGTATTGTCTTAATTTGCCACTGTTCGTAATATCAATAGGAATACCATCGCCATCATTCTAAACAGCAATCATCCACTTCATCGGTCATCGGACAAGTATGTGAGTAGAAAAAAAAAGGAGAGAAATAGAGGACAAACGGTCAATGTATGTACGTGTGAATAGAGCAATCAAGGGCAACTCCTATTTCTCATTTTCTCTTCTTTCCTGTCTTATCGGACATCACATCTGCAATGTCCAATGGACAGATGAACTAGTTCAATTAGTGAATCTAATATTGATGGTGAGAGAGAGCACAACAAGCCTTTAGCGGAAAAGACAATATAGAAGAAGAGAAGATCAAAATATACATATATGACTTCCTTTTATATTCTAGTACATGTTTGGATTCAATTCATAGAAAGAAAAGGTGACGAAACACATCAAACTTACTTCTTCAATACTTGACTTCGATGTTGGTCGAGTACCAACTGTATCGATGACAATACCAGAATCAGATGTTGGAACTTTATTATGATGAGATGATGATAAATGTTTTTGATACCATGATTGATCAATATGATTCGTTTGAAAATCGATTGGATAAAGAATTTTTGATGGTTGTTGATTTGATGTTTCAGCTATAGTTTTAAGACTAGTTGCTTTACGTTGCTGAGATATATTTTGTTGTTGTTGTTGTTGCTGTTGTTGAAGAATAAAATCTGATCGAGACATAAATTTTTCACCTGATGGTGAACTTGATTCCGAAGATGATGATGATGAAGAAAAAGTAGCAGGAGAAGATAATGATGAAAGTTTTTCTTCACTTTTTGGTTTTGTTTGATGACGATATTGGTTAAATGTAAGAGGTGGTTGTGCTCGTCGATGATTTTGATTACTACTCGAACAATGAGATAATAGTAAACCATTTGTAAGAATACGACGAGTAAATGATGGTCGACGTTGATTATCATTGGATGATTTATTTCTAGTCGAACAATCTTCATCAATAACGGGTGCACAACAAGATATTCGATGAATCGATGAACAATCTGTCAGTGAATGATGGACGCTTGGTACTTCTTCGTAATGTACTAAAATAAAGAAACAATCAATAATTATTAGTTCCTTGTGTGAACTTTTCTTTGCTGACTGAAAATTTTTAGATTTGTTTTTGTTTTTGTTTTTCTGTTCTAGGTACGGTTCGAAATATTCTCTATTTACTGAACACATTTAATCAGTTAATAAATAACTATAATAGCCCGAAAAGATGGAACATCTTCGTTTAGAAATATTAAAGTTTACACATTATTTCGTTGAAATTTGACGTACCGTTCATGTTTACCAGAATTTACAAAAAGAAGCTTCAGCTAAAAAGACATGCAATTTAGGAGGTTCGCTCAATATTTTGATCTTTTTGTTCGAGTGAAACGAGATAAAAAGAAACCATAAAAAGAGTAGGCAACCTAGACAGTGTTACGTATGTGTACAAAAATTTCAACTCTCTCCAACATATTGTGATTGAGAAAGGCGAGTAATAAACGAAGCCATTTTTTACTCTTACAACTTGAAGATCTCTTATAAAAAAGCGTTCAAGAATTTTGAGTGTATAACAACTTTTGCTCTGCTCATCAACATCTATCTGTACTGAAAGTTTTAAAATTTTCTAGATATTCTAAAGCTGCTTTCCTTTAAGACAAAACCAGTTGTTTGCAAAAAAAATCGAAATTGATTTTTTGTCATAGAAAGATGGATTACAGTCTTCTCGTTTAAAATATATGCATACAATATTTTGCAAAACGATCAGATTTTAATCGACTTATTAGATGAGAGATTGACTTTACTATCATATTTTCAGAGAAATTTTTGCAATACTTTTTTAAAAAATTTTGCGACGATTGCCTGTGGATTAACATCAGCATTCAAGGATACTATTTTATATTAATCATTAAGTATCTGCTAATCCTCAAGATAAGGATTAATATTTATGTTTTAATCTTAACATTTGATACATAATTCACATATCTTACAAAAAATCGAAAAGTTTGGCATGAAAAAAATTCTTCTCTAAAATTCTTAAGCATTTTTCTCGAAACACAGACTTTAATCAGAAAAATTGAGATTTCTCTTCTATTTTAAAGCTTCAGATGCGAGGAAATTTTTTGTCAGACCAAAGTTTTTTGTAGTTGATTCATGTATCGATAAAAGGGAAATTTAGTTTAATGAGGTAACCTTTTTTGTTAGGTTTATTTTAACACTATGTCTACTATATTACTCATAAAAAACGAATGGAAACAAGTTTCAAAATTCTGTTCGTACGAAACATACGTACAGATACTGACTTTCATTTAAAATAATCCTAAATTCTGTATCTCTTCTCATGATGAAAGTTTAAGAATTCTTCTTGAGACGATCAATGGGTTCTGAATAAATTAAAAGTTCAGTCTAGTATAATGTATCGAAATGATATGTTTATTAAAATTGTTTTTTACTAGAATTACTCATCACTGAAAATTTTAGTCCAAAACAGATCATTCTAAGTGAAAAATCCATTGTAGAGGAGTAGGGAAATTCTTAACAAATATTTCGTTTGGTTAGTAGTATAATTAACATTTGTTCTGAGCTTTTCAAACGATATGATAAAAGAAAAAAATATGTTACGACATACTCACTTGTACTTTTTAGCGTTGATGATGATGCTGGTAAGATAAAATCTGACAGACTTGATGATGAAGATTGAATTACTTTCATTTTTTTGACATGTTGCAATGGCATTAATTGATTATTACCTATCATGCATGTATTTTGTTCGATTCTTGTAGGTAAAAGTAACATTGGAACTGATAATGACATAGGTGAAGATTTCGATGGTGATTCTTGTTGTATTTGAAGTGAAGCCAAAGATTTATTTATAGAATTATTTTGATTATTAATTACCGGTGATGAAGATGATTTTTCATTGTTAGTTAAAAATGGAGGAGTAAAAACTTTCGAAGTGATCATTGTTGTTGTTCCACATAAATTTGACGCAGAAAGAGTATTAGTTGATATAGAATATGGTTCAAATGATGCATCGGTATAACATGAACGGATACGCGTTCGATCAAGAATTGAAGAATGATATGATGAAGATGGAGACATAATTGGTTCAATTTTAGGATGGGTAGTCGAAGACTAAGAATAAAAGTATCAATAAATATTATGTATATAAATGATAATATAATTACTTTTTCGATTGATTCAACATTAGCAATATCATATACAATTAGTTTGTCATATGCATCATCATAAATCTCGTCTTCTTCTTCTTCGTCGTCGTCATCTTCTTCTTCCGTTTGAAATTGTGGACTTAAAGATTCATAAATAGTTGAAAGATGTTCATTATCATCTTGAACTTTTTCAAAACTTTCTGTATTATTCATAATTTTTATTTCTGATTCATTTTCATTCTCAAGTATATCAGCTCGATCATCGTTATCATGTAATGTTACTGTTGGTATTGATCCATCATTTATTTTTAATAAATGATGTTGTTTTCTTTGATTTTCTTCTTCATCGTCACGTCTTAATTGTTCAAGTTCTTCTTCGTTTTCTTCAGTTATTGTCACACAACAATTAATTAAAGATGAATGAATAATATTAATTGGTGATTCATAAGAAATATTATTGGACATGCACTCATCATGCTGAAAAAGATGAAATAAAAGCACAAGAATAAATGAATATTTCGCCGATTTTTTTCTATAATGAGATACAAACAATCACATTCAATCATACATTTCTAAAAGAATCTTTTTGAAAAGGTTTCATCTCATAAGTTATTGCACAATTCTTATTTTAAAGATGAAAAGATTTTTTCTAATTCTACCTTTAAAAGTTTTGAATTTAACTGAATCTTATAAATGAAAGAAAAAAGAAAAGCCTTGAAAACCATTTGACTGGCAGACGACGAAGAAAATTTTTTATTCGTACATGAATATTTACTATTTCTCCTTGTGTGTAGTCATCACTTGAAAAATCGTCTCAATGAATTTTTTTTTTTAATGATTCGTTATTAAAAGTGAATCCTTTCTCAATGTTACGATGAAGGAAAAAAAGAATCAATATGAATTATGAATTGGAGTTTCTTTTTTTCTCTTAGAAAAAGATACAAATAAGATATCTGTAGCAATTAACATACAAAGAATATTGCTGTTCTTGCCCGAGGTTGACGTGTTATATCATTGACATTGGATAGATCCATATTATAAACAAAACTATCAGTAATTAATTTTTGTTCGCATTGAATAAATGTAGCTAATTCTTTATCGTCAATTTTTGTTGGTGATACTGGTGCTGATTGACTTTTTTGCTCGCGTAGGTCATGTTTATTATCATCATACAATTGTTTTTCGTCAATGTCTATATTCATATTACATCCAATAGTAGATAAATCCATTTCCGTTCGTGTTGTATTTGAAACATAATTATCATCTGTCTGTTGACGTTGACATTCTCGGTGGAGTCGTAAATCGTCAAGACTTTTGCTTTGAAATTTAATTTGTAATATTTTTTTAGAATTATTATGAATTTGTTTTAATGAATTATCAATTGAAACAGATAAATGATGAGACGATGATTCTCCTAAAGGAATAAAATACATTTAACATCACATCATTAGTCTTAGTTTTTTAGTAGTTCAATTTTGCGTCATCAGCACTAAGCATTGTAACATTCAACATTTTTAGACTCTTTCAGTTATATTAATCTTATTACATATAGAATCACCCAGAGACGGCTGTCCGTTAGCGGCTAATCCAATATTAATCTAATGTCAATTCTATAAACAGCTCCCAGATCTGCTCTGTTCTGTTCTACTAGACTGTAATATTATTTCAAATGCATATATAGCATGCAAGTCTGCCATTTTCTCTCTCTCTCTCTCTTTCTTGTTCCTACGATTATTTGTTTACACAGCTAGACATTGTCATCGAACCAATCAGTGTTAGAAAGCTTCACATTTTGATAAAAATAATACTGATATTACACTTTTTAACTTACTCTTTTCACATTCATCTTTGTCATTTAATTGACAATCGACGTTGTCTATCATTCTTATGTAAGTTAATTCGTAAATATCAATGACAGAGTATTATTGAACAGAACATCATTATATCACGAGACGTGAGTTTTGAATAAATATGTGTAAAAAAAAGGAGAAGAATAAGAAATTATCAAACCGACATAGTTCGTGCATACACTTGAGTGTACTCGGCCTTGTACGAGTGGCGAACGTGCAATTGCTGTGTGTTGTAGAAATAAGAGTGTCGTGTGCGAAGAGAAGTATGGGTATATGACATACACACTATTTGAGACGCAAGGCAAAGAAAGAGAAGAAAAAATTAACTGTGGGTGTCGAAAAAAACAACAGAGAATAAGATGCATCATCGATTAGAGAAAAAAAAAGAAGAAGAGAACAAGCTTATCGCTTCGAGACTGACCCTTTATTTGTTCAATGAGGATAATACTGTATTATTTGTATGTTTTTGAATAAAGATTTTCATCTGTAAAATAATAATATTTTGTCAAAAACTACTATAAGAAAAGTACCACATAACAGAGATAAAGGATCTACTATGAGTACGAAATATTTCTCAAAGCGATAGAATTTTTCTTCGAAACTTGTTGACTCGTAAAATGAAGAAAAATGTGTTGATCACATAAAAATTAAACAGATATCAAAAACTTCCAAATTGTACATATTCATACAGAAAAGTAGACTGTCTACTTGTACAATGTCATTATCGATCTAATCAATAATGTGTATAATTTAGACGAGTGTAAATGATTTTTTTTATGGTTGATAATTGGTAGTTTTATTTTACTTTAATTAATCAATATTATTTACCTTGAATCGATGGTAAATGTTGCATCATTATCAAGAAGATGAATAAAACAACAAAGTTCAACAAGAACTTTGATGAGTGTATCAGATGTTAATGTTTTTTTTCGGAATAGTTTAGTGATTCATTTCAATTAATCAATCACAGACAGAAAGAAAAAAAAAAAGAAAAGCAAATGAGTCAGTTTGATACATCGTCCAGTGACGAGTCCTTGGCTGACCAATCAATACAATATGCAGACGAAAACGAAATAAGAGGTCGCTTAATGTCTATGTAACTTTTCGTTTTTTATAGCCAGCAAACAAATTATGACTTTTACTGATGTAAAAACTTGATTAATAAGCTGTATGATTATGAGCGATTTTGAAAACTAAAGAGTATTCCAAAAGTTCTGAAACGATTAAAAAATTCATCGTCCTTGTATTCAACAACAGCAAGCGCTTTTACGATGAATGAGAAATTGTAATGAGACTTATGTACTATTTTATCAATTTTTGAATAAAACCTTCGTCACGATAGAAGACTCGTCTTGAGAAACGATGCATGAGAGGTAATAGAAAACTTCTCCCCCCAATTAATGAATGTCTATCAAAATTAGACCTTTCATTAGTATAATTACGTCAAAATCTGCCTTGGTTTTCAAGGTTTTTAGATGAAAAGTCTGAGAAGACGGAGATCAACATTATATCTGAGGTTTCAAAATTCTCAAAACTTTCTTACCAAATTCTTGAAATCGTTTTGATTTTTTGAAAAACACTTTGTATTTAAAATTATAAAAATAACTAAGACAAAATAGAAGACCTCTCTGAAAAATTTGTATGCTTGGACATAATAAAAAACCCAGTCTTCTATTGCGGAAACGCCTTTAGCCTAAGTGGACAAGTGTCCTAAATGGTTTCCAATTTTTATCGATGAGTGATTAGAGCTTATCGATTCACAAGATAGTGATCATTGTGAGATAATTTATTTTTATTGATGAAAGATGTGCGACATTCCTTTGAATTATGGTCACAGAAATGAACCAACTAAACATTCGACTTTGTTATATCATCAAAGCTAAAAGGCGACAGGATCTGGAAGTAGGTGTAAGAATTGTAGTTGAATCGTTTAATAGACGAAGAGAAGAACCGCACACCCACTGTCATTCACATCCACGCCTTTTTCATAGTTTTCGACAATACTATTGTTAGATGCAAACATAAAATTAGCTGCCTGTTGCAAATAATCTGAAATAGACGATTGATTACTTTCAACGGTAAACGATTGCGAGACCGGTTTGATATGATATTGCTCTTAGACCCGTTTGAATTAGTCAAAATCATAAACAAATTATCACTATTTGTTACAAAGCATCTCTTTTCTTTTGCTTAAAAAAGCGCAGACGTAGATAGGACACTATCCGTAATTAAAACATACAATAGTTTATTTGATTTCAGTCTGAATTTGGAACGAAAAAAAAACACTCAATTTCAGATAGACATACTGGACTAGGGGGACTTATGAATATCACACACATATATATATATGCATATATATATACATATATATATACCCTTTTTCTTGGAAGGGTTGGACTTGGAGAACTTATGAGTCCCTTAAGATTAAATAAATATTCATTTAAACATTATTCTAAAGTTTCTAAAGTTTCTCAAGCTCTTCTAGTCCCACCCTGCTCCCACCATTGAGAAAATAGAGGGTATAAAGCTTTTGTATCTGTGTGTAGTAGTGAGTTAGTCAAGGCACGGCATGAGATAAATATTTATGTATAATATTTTCGTCCGCCTCAAGCCTTGTAGACAAAGAGGCTTTTTTAAGTGCCCGTAGACCTCTCCTCGTTTGGAAAAGTGGGCGTAATTTTTTCTCCAAAATTCAGTTTGAAATAACAAAGACCGTAGATTCATGTATTTGATGTATTGTGGGTGTTTGTTTTTTAGTTTTAATTCCTTCCATGTCATATACTATTTACTCAAAACTGAATGAATTTTTGTTTTCTTTCGATGTTTTATTCAATGAAATATTTCAGGAAAACGATAAAATCATTATTAAGTAAAGTACTTCATCGAAAACATTCATCTCACTCAAGAGACATGATCTAGTTAGGCAAGAAATAAAAGACAAAGGAAAAAACGTAGCAAAATCTCGATAAAAATTGAATCATAAAAAATGCACACTTTTAATGTGTTACGAATACTCGAAAATGTGCAGGTTATAAAGTTTTGTTCGAGAGTTTTAACACTTTTTTGCATGTTCGATTTTTGAATTGAGTGGACCTCCAGAGAGAAGGACAACGATACTCTCAGGACTGCACTGTAAAAAAAGCCGATGCCGCATATCCTTCAAGAAATTCTGAGACGAATGACTTATAACAGTAACGGTATCTAAAAATGACAAGAATAAATGACGTATATTTAAGGATCTATTATTCAACGTTTTCATCGGAAGGATTCATTCTTCCTCACATAAAGATAGATTATTCTACATTGCGATCAGAAGGATTGATTGTTCTTCGTATAAATTTAGATTACTCTATGATTTCAGCAATATAAAAGGTCACTGTACGATTTTAGCCAAAGCGTTTACTATTCTATACAAAAGAATAGAATGTTCTACGATTTAAGAAGAAGGGTTTAATATCATTCCCACACGTATTTATTACTCGACGCGTACAGATAGATTAGTTTACGTTTTCTTCAGAAGGGTTTTGTATTATGAGCACAATATTCTCTCAAAAGCACTTACCCTCACAAACTCTGAGAGAGTTTCCTGGCTCATGAAAATCCAAAGGTATATGGAACCCGAAAACACCCGAGCGGCATGATAGATTTTGATATTTTACCGTATGTCACAGAACCAACAAGGCCAAAGATATTTTTAGTTCTCAATTGTTAAAATGCAACTTACAACTTCGATCATATTGATCTGAACCTAAAAGAAAGTAATGGTTTTCACGTTTTATAGTGTAACTTACGCTTAGGATCATATCGGTTTGTACCTGAAAGATAAAAAAAGAAACTATTACTTTACTGTTATTAAACTGTAACTTACCATCTGTATCGAATCGATTCGAACGCAAAATGAAAGAAAGGAAATGATTATTTTCCTCTCTATTATGTGTAATTCATAAATGCGACCATATCGAGTGTGGTTATCTCTCTCAGCTTCATCAACACGCACCCATATCTAAGCATGTTCAATGGAACAAGATAAGAAAAAACTATAATTTTTATGCCAATAATAATAATTTGACTCTCAATTGTTAGCATCTTTTTTTCACTCATATATTCAAAATTGAGATTAACTCAAGATTGTTAACATAACATTAGATTATCTCGGAAGTAGGAAATCATTTCAGATTTTGAAAAAAAGAATGCTTCTTAATTTAATCAGTTACACGACATATATGAGCAGTTTTCATCTAACTAATAACCTCTAAAACTGACCAAAAAAGAACATAAAAAAATAAAATAGGGACACCAAAAATGTTCCCTAGAGAACGTTTTGAACTCACCACGATCGCTCTGTTGATATTCTGAAAATTTTTCAAAACTTCGCCTACACTTGAGAGTGTCCAAGAAAAACTTGGAAACGGATTTCGGTTTCCCATGATAATTCTTTGACATTTAGGACTTTTAGAAACCATCCGATGATCGATAAGATATTTTCTGAAGCTTCTTCTGACAACAAGGTATTTTGAGAAACTTTCTCGCATATCTCTAAAGGTTTGAGAAAAGGTTTTCGAGTGAGTTAGAGTTTTCCAGGA